TAGAAAAACCAGGCGACTACATTCGGTTTGATAAACCACATATCCTCGCTCGTGAAGACAGATATACCAAGGTTAATCCGCGAGGCTATTGAAATTAAAAAACACCCCAATTTCAATAGAGAAGATGGCTGGAACCTAGCAAAAACCTAGGATCCCCTAGGATCAATATAAAAAGATTTTCAATAATGCCAATGTCATAAATACTTATTACTTACCTTCAAAACCTACCTTACTACAAACTTTTACTTATTCCCGTTGGATTTCAACAAATTTGCAAAACGTTACAATAAAATGTACATATATTAATTTTCTATTTGGAAATTTAGTAAAAGTATCTGCTTATCTAAAGAGACGAATACCCAATAACATTACAGTTCTCCACAATGAAAATAGATATGTGCACGGTTAAGTCCAATTGCGAATTATGTACCAGTTATTTTGACAATTTAAATCCCCAAAGTATACAATGATAACTTTGTAAAACAATGATTTAACCCAAACTTAAGCACGTAACTATTTGTTATAATTTGATCGTTTTCAAAGTTCTATTTTTTTGATATATAAACTTTCGTAAAACGTTTTAAGTTCGACAAAATAGGTATTGTGTTTGTATAATTCTAATAACTAATAAGTCATATTTACTGTTATTAAATTACAAACACAACTGACTTTTAAAGAGAGTAATCGAAACAGTACGAATTACGATTTCTTCGTAAGTTATTTGTTTATTTCCAATTTATACAGAATAATGAATGATAACATACAAAAATGCTCTTTAAATAATCTCCCTTCCCCAATCCACAACCCATTCCTTAGTCAATAAGCTCTTCTTTATTTTATTGACTATTAGGGGCGTTCATAAATTACGTGATGTTTTTTTGAAATTTCTTACCCTCCCCCCAGCCTTGGTGAGATGTCGTGAGATTTTAATCAACCTCCTCCCCCCATCCACCAATCTCACGTGAGATTTTTTTTTTCATAGGGGATGGTGGCTTGACAGTCAGTAAATGTATAACGTCGAAGTATAAAAGAAATTCATTATTTTAGAACGATTTAGGGAATGATCTTCATCGTATAACGATAACGCTTAAGATTAAATCTTATATGTACAATCTGGATTAAATGGACCAATATAGTATAATTTTTTTGTTTTTATTCAGAAAAAATTACGTGATATTTACCCCTCCACCAACGTAAGTTTAAATTAAATTAGACTCGACCTCCTCCCTCCCTAAAATATCTCAAGTTTTTTATGAACACACCCTAAGAAATATTATGAAATCTATATAAATTACCTTAAACAAAAACACCAAAGAAAATGACATTTAATAGTCGGTTTTTGTCCAATAAGGATAATAAAGTGGTATTCTTGGCAAATAAATTGGCACAAAAGATAAATATATATGTACCTATTTATAGATAATTAACATTTTTAGTGCAAACTTACCACAAGATTTTATATCACAATAAGTACGTAGTTTTCTTGTTTTTAAATACAATATAAAATGTATGAATGTAAAACTGGAAAGACTGTTTAGTATAGGAACATTTGGTAAGTAAGCTGGTTAGAATTTCATCTTGATTCGTGACTAACTTATCAACTCATCTTTACCAGCCTGTACCCTTCTTAATTATTATCATTATTTGATTGTTTCACTGCTTTTAAAGCTTTAAGTTATCGAAAGTATTCTCTTTGCTGTTTTGTGTGGTTTTTTCGTAAATAAGGGCCACAATAGCGTCAATTATTCATATCAATGTAGGGTGCATAAATAAAGAGCTTTTGATAACCAAACAAATACTTTTTTATGAAGATAAAGTACGATTTTTTTTAAATATTCTCATGGAAAATATGTTAAATAAAAGTTGAAACGGAACAAATTAATTGTATGAAAGTTATGTAAGAACACATTTTAAATAATTTTATTAATATATGAGGAATCTAAAGAAACTAATGGTACTTACTCTAAGTGTACATCGTCACTACATACTCCACGTCAACAGTATTTCACATAGTATTGACGTAGGTTAATGAGAAACGGGAAACTATTAGTATGTAGTGTATACAAACATGTGGTAAGTAAACTCCTGTATTTGGAATCAGTACTGTAGCATAAGCCTTTTCGTTGCAAGTAGACGCTTGATAAATAGAGAATACTTAAAAGCACAAACAGAAATATGCTTTCTTATTCAGAACTAATTTTTAAATCCCTTAAATGCAGGTTTTAATAAACATAAACTATAATAATAATTACAAAACTAATTTTCAATTGACATACACTTCTACCATAAAAAAAGATTATACGATAAAATTTTTATTAATTCATGTGTTTATTACTATCGCTTTTTGTATCTGATAAATCATCAAATAGGTTTTATATATCACAGTTTTTAAGTGCCCTAACTCGCTAGAACTCAGTTGAGAGACGGGCAAATAGGCCTATTGGTGACCACAAATTGGTTAATTCTAATCTTGTCAGCCTAGAGTTGAGAAAAAAGGAAGCCATACTCTCGGAATTCTAAAGGAAATACTCTGAAGAATATGCATCGGAGTTAAACGATTTTATTTTCTTATCTTTTCTGATTACCAGATGCACAATAGGCATTCATCCCTTCGTTGTAGATTTTCCTCATATTCACGTGTACATTTAGAAATGCCTAAACGATCTTGGAAAAAAATGCTTACAAAAAATCTAAAATCAAAACGCCGCAAATCGTCTCAAGAACACTTAGAAGAGCATCGTCGTCAAACTATTCAGGATTCTCAAACTTCTCACAGTGAAGACTCATTAAATTCAAAAAATAATCAGGCTTCTGCTCGTCCCACACGTGCTGCTAAAGTAAGATGCTTGCAAAATTTGACTGATATTACATGAACAGAAAGGTCTTATGATTTAAGATGGCACTTCACTTGGCGTTTATTTGTTTTTTGAGGTGGTAGAGCCTAGCTGTAGTCAATTTACTACAGCTCGAACATGGGCTGGCTCGACCGGGGAAGTACCACCCTCTCACAGAAGATCGGCGTAAAGTAGTGTTTAAAGGCTGCGTTTCGTCCGGTGAGTGAGAGAGCCGGTTGCCCTTTCCCTTTTCCCAACCTTTCCTTTCCCTCCCTTTCCCACCATTTCCTCCTCCTTTTCCCCAATCAAGGGCGGCAACACATCCGCAAATCTACGTTGCGGATGTCCATGGGCGACGGTCACTACCTACCATCAAGTAGGCCGTCTGCTCAGTTGCCCCCTTTTCCCATAAAAAAAAAAAAAAAAAAAAATGTTCGACCAAATATGACCATGTGTGGAGGATTTATTCGTCTTCATTTGACATATTTGCACAAACACGACACATACACAAATAAGCGAAAATATGTAAAGGCGTGTTGGCATGCCAAGTGTGGATGTCGTGTTTGAGGTATTTGGTCTACGTATAAATATTAGGACAAATGCGGCGAATACGCTACGCGAATAGACAACGCCGAGTGAAGTTAGATGTTTCACGAGAGCGTGCCTCACATATCGTGTAGCTAATGATGAGGAACAACGAAAGCACAGATTAGAAAAACAAAGTCGAAACGGAAGTCGATGTAGGGCTTTAGAACTTAATAATTGTTGGCCGTTTGTTTGTGTTTTTATTATATGTGAATATTTCAGTTAACAAGCTACTTCTTCTACCTGGCAATTTCCCAGCTATAGCCAGGGTCTGCCTTACATGTTGTGTATAGTTTTGGCTATTTGTTTTTACGACCGGCCGCCTGCCTGACATCAACCCTCTTTTGGGAATCAACATTAATCAGTGATATCTAAATGTCTTAGAAAGTACATATGACTCGGAAAAATCACATTGGTACTTTCCAGGATTCGAACCCGCGCCCTCAGCAACGAGAGACTACTTATGTAATGTTATTTTGTAACCTACTACCTTTTTCGAGCGACGTTGTTTGCGTTAATTTCAGAATAAGAATTGTATAGCTGACCTGATATATAAAAAAATCATTTAACAAGATTTTTACTTTAGCGATGCAGGATCTCGTATATTTTACTATTAAAAAACATCAAATGTAAATATGGAATACAAAAGGTTATTTATACAATAATTAAAAGATATATCTACAGAAACATAAATGGCGTAAATGCGAAATACTTATATCCTTTGAATAAACACTTTTAGGTTTGTATGAATAAATAATTTAAAAGGGACTAATTACAAACGACTAACTTAATAATTCTTACAAATAACTAAAGTAATAGGTTTTTAGTGTGATACTAATATACAATGATGATTAATACCTCACAAAATCTTACAGTGTGATTATAAAATGACTTACGATAACGAATATATAGAACTCCGACTGTTCCGACATTTCACGAGCAATAGAAGTACTCGATACAAGACTTTATATCTTTTAAAAATAATTAGAGGGTATTTTAACATATCAAACAGGAGGCTTGCTTATACATGTTACTTACGCGCTACATATGAAGAAAATAAATGAAGATCGCCGGGCGACATCGTTGTATGTATAATATATATAACGAGTGACGCCGCTGACTCCGTGGAACGAACACCAAGCGTGTGAACCAGAAGATTCCTGATACACACAAGCTATGGAATGGTATTGCTATCCTAACATCGGGACAATCATGTAGTCTTAGGTGTAGGTTATAAGTTTTAATATGTAGTTCTTATTATAATATACATATAAGTAAGTTTCGTAGTTTTCGTAGTTAGGTTGCCACCCTTATAAATTACATAAAAATAAAACAACAAAATCATAACAATCATTTATTTCAACGACATGAAATACAAATCTTGAACATTGCTATACTTACACCGAAATCCAAAATCATTCAACTACCCACCAAAACAAACCTCAAACAAACTGAGACCATTAAAAAAACAACTCTATATAATAAAAAAAACTTCTAGTAAGATTTTATTTAATTTAATAGTCAGTTGAAAACATATAATGATATATAAATGTATTATTTTCATATTAAAATGCTTTCCGGTCACATTTCTTTCTCACAGTCATAGTTGCACAGCTTCTTGTAGAACTCCTTCGATGATTTACATCTCTGACTTACACAGTGAGGGCATCTGTAACATATATACACACACACACACTATAGATATATATTTTATTATTTTATGTGAAAGCTGGCAAACGAGCAGACGGCCCACTTGATGGAAGGTGGTTACCGTCGCCCATGGACATCCACAACATCTATGTTGCGGATGCATTGCCAACCTTGTTTTATAGGGATAGGGAGGGGTGGGAATAAGAAAATGGTAGGAAAGGGTGGGAATAGGGAAAGGGCAACCGGCTCTCTCACTCATCGGACGAAACGCAGCCATTAAAGACTACTTCACGCCGATCTTCTGTGAGAGGGTGGTACTTCCCCGGTCGAGCCAGCCCATGTTCGAGCTGTAGTAACTGACTACAGCTAGGCTCTACCACCTAAAAAATATATATATTTACATAGTAAAAATAAAATTAGGACATATAAAAACATATTATAAGTATGATGTATAAGGATTTATAATATACTAGCTGACCCGGAGAACTTCGTAACACCCCATAATAAAGAAATATCTGTTACACTACAAATTATACTGAAGAAACCAATTTGAAAAGTACAGTAAGAAATGGTAAATGAATTGTGTAGTTATTTTGTTACTATAACTCCGACAGATATATTTACAACGAGCATGTAAAGGAGATCATTCAGGCTTCATACATTTTTGGGCTTTTTTTGAAAGTGCCGGCCAACAAAAAAAAAATGGTACATATTTGTAGAACTAACCATTTGGAACAATAGTTAATATGGCGCAAAAGTTGTAGGATCCAAGATATAGAAGTTATACAAGTTTCAAGATTCATCATTTTGGTACTTTATTTTTTTCTGAAAGTGCCAGAAAACATAAAATAATGATTGATATTGCTAGAGTTAAGCTTCTCAAGCAAAGCATTATAGCCATAATCTGTTAGAAACCTGTCGTTTTTATGTAATACTAGCGAACCCGACAGAATTTGTTCAGCCAAGTATCTGAACGCATGCAACACATTTCTTGATGATTTTATTATTTGTCTAACCTAATATGTATATCGGGGTGCCATTTTTATATATTAAAAAAATGGGCCTAGAAGCACTTTTAACTGATTTTGTACCATTTCATGTCGGATTTGATCATATGACGCGAGAGCAAGTGGCGCAGAGCATGTACATAACCGCATGACTCCAGATTTTCTATAGCATCTCTAAAACCACGGTCTAATATAAAAATGTCACCAGGCCGGTAAAACCAGTGAAATACATCATCCACATTATTCAGTGCATCATTTAAAATCTGGGCATCGGAGGTTGTTGCAGCGATGGGCCATCTACCGCTATTATGGTTCCATTGCAACAAATATTTAAAAAAGGCTTTAAAAGATTTCGAAAGTTATGGTTGCTATAAGATTTTCTTTGAAAAAAGAAATTAGGGCTCTTCCGTTAAAATATGTTAGTGCCATCAAGTATAGAGATGGCCTTTCTTTAGTCATTCGGACTATCAGGATTACCAAATTATCGCTCTGGCACTATGAGGTTCCTCTGCGCCACTTGCTCTCGCGTCATATGATCAAATCCTACCCGAAATGGTACAAAATCAGTTAAAAGTGCTTCTAGGCCCATTTTTTTAATATATAAAAATGGCACCCCGATATACATATTAGGTTAGACAAATAATAAAATCATCAAGAAATGTGTTGCATGCGTTCAGATACTTGGCGGAACAACGTGTGTCGGGTTCGCTAGTATTACATAAAAACGACCGGTTTCTAACAGATTATGGCTATAATGCTTTGCTTGAGAAGCTTAACTCTAGCAATATCAATCATTATTTTATGTTTCCTGGCACTTTCAGAAAAAAATAAAGTACCAAAATGATGAATCTTGAAACTTGTATAACTTCTATATCTTGGATCCTACAACTTTTGCGCCATATTAACTATTGTTCCAAATGGTTAGTTCTACAAATATGTACCATTTTTTTTGTTGGCCGGCACTTTTAAAAAAGGCCCAAAAAGAATGATCTCCTTTCTTTTATTTTTCTTTGTTTTAATGACCATTACATGAATATTACTGCCAGTGACATATTATTTTATTAAAAAAGTGAAATATTCCAGTAATTTTCCTATTTTTTTTTTACATAAGAACCTTCTCCCAATAATAACAAATACAATAAAAAAGATTTAATGAAATCGGTCCAGCCATTCACGCTTGATGCCGTGACCAAGGGAAAAAGTAATTCATTTATTTTTATATATACTAGCATTCTGCCCGCAGCTTCGCCCGCGTGGAGTTCGGTTATATAGAGTTTCCAAGAGATCCTTTCAAAAGTTTGGGATCAAAACTATCCTATGTTCTTTCTCAAGGTCAACTCTATCTCTGTACCAAATATTAAAATCAGTTCAGTGGTTAAGGCGTGAAAGCGTAACAGACAGACAGACTTACTTTCGCATTTATAATATTAGTAGTGATATATATATCATTCCAACCTTGATAGATATTGTCTTGACAGTGCGGGTCCACTATTAATATGATTGGCAACAACATCAGCCATTGCTGCTATGAACATGGGGTGATCATTGGGTGCGGCTGCTCGCTCTATTTGTATGACGCCGGCCTGGAAGAAATAACAAATATATATATATACAGGGTGACTGGTGAATTACTATCGATATTTAAGGAGAATACTCGGTACATGATTCTCATTCGAATTATGTAAAAAAAATAGGTACTTAATTTTTGACCAAATTTTCGTATAAATAAATAAAGTGTGGACACGTTCCAAGTGTTCCAAGTGTGAACGCGTGCGGCGGCGTGGTGTTGTATCAGCATGTGTGTGTGTGTGTGTGTGTGTATACCTAATCTGTAGGGTGTTGACACGATGCGTAATTAAGTACGTAACTTTTGGTTAACTTTACTTAGAAGTTTATTAATATTTATGTTATATTAATTTTTATTTTGTCATATATGATCGTCAAATATCACGTCCTCAAGTATCGATAGTAATTCACCAGTCACCCTGTATATGTGTAAATATATTCTAAATGTCCGTCTGTATCCACTAATCTCAAGAAATATAAGCTTTTTTTGATGAATTACTTCATTCTATCATAAACAAACTTTAGAACATCATTACTCTCTTCTTTAAAGAAAAGCTAGCTAGTCTCGAATTTTAAAATATTAAAAGAAATACAATATATATGAACCAACAGTCAGCGTCATCTATCGCGTGTCGTTACTTCATACAATACATCTGTTAAGTGTTCCCGGGAACTACACGGACTGAACGATACATTATATACTGTGTGTTATAATAATGTATTACATATATTATTGTATACATTCAGTAGTGTCTACATTAAAGTATAACAAACATACACACAAACATTTTTATTTATATTTTGTATATAATATATGTAATATTTCTTACCTCTTTAGCCAGTTCATCACAGTACTCAATGTCTAGTTCATGTAATGTCTCAATGTGTTCATTTACAAATGCTATCGGCACTAAGATCATATGTTTGACTCCTTGTTTTGAGTAAGCCTGAAAAAAAAATCATTTTCAATTCTAAAATACATATAAAGTTGAATTAATTGTTATATTTAGGGTAGATAATATAATTACACTAATATATATATACATATATAACAAAAGTTTTAAATTGAAGTAAAAATTATTTTGTACTTATTATTTGAACTATTTGAATAAAATATACAGGGTGACTGGTGAATTACTATCAATATTTAAGGAGAATACTCGGTACATGATTCTCATTCGAATTATGTAAAAAAAATAGGTACTTAATTTTTGACAAAATTTCCGTATAAATAAATAAAGTGTTGAAACGTTCCAAGTGTTCCTAGTGTGGACGCGTGCGGCGGCGTGCTGATACAACACTACGCCGCCGCCGCGTCTGTGTGAGTGTATGTGTATACCTAATCTGTAGGGTGTTCACACGATGCGTAATTAATTACATAACTTTTGGTTAACTTTACTTAGAAGTTTATTAATATTTATGTTATATTAATTTTCATATTGTCATATATGATCGTCAAATATCACGTCCTCAAGTATCGATAGTAATTCACCAGTCACCCTGTATATATATTTAGGTAGAGAGAGGAGCTTGTACGGTGGAGGTGATCGTTTAACGTTAGATAGGGTCCCTTAAACCTACACCTGGTCACAAGTCCCAGTCATTGTTGAAGCTCCTCTCACTACAACGATGGACCCGACACACGCACCGTGAATACATGGAATGATGAGAGGTTTCATCTCTTATATATATAGATTTACCTTAATAGCATCATCAGTATAAGGTTGAAGCCAAGGCAAAGGTCCAACTTTACTCTGCCAGACCAGTCGGTGAGGGTTTTTAACTTTGAGTACATTCATAACAGCTGATACTGAAGCTGCTACTTCATGAGGATAGGTATCGCCGCGGGATACAGCCTGCATATGAAAATATATAGGTATATCTTATATCTTTAATGAACAATTCTTGATTCCAATTAATAATACTATCTAGACACCAAGCTTTGCTCGGTATTTAGGAATTATTAGTATTTATTTTGTGTTTTTTATTTCGTTTAGGCATTTTTAATTGAACATGTTAAGAAGACACAAAACAATATAAATCAACAATTAATTTCTTCGTCTAACCTCGAAACAAACACTCATTGACTTCCTGTTACTTAACAACGCCATCTGCTGTTCTGTCGTTAAAGCAAATAGTAAAAGCAAGTAGCAAAGTAGTATTACTATTCGCCAATAGATGTCAGGAGGAGTCATAGTTTAAACACCTCCTTTTTGTTATTTTTTTTTACATAAAATTAAATTTTCTAAAAATGATTCCTAGCTAGATCGATTTATCGTCCCCAAAACCCTCTACATACTAAATTTCATGAAAATCGGAACCGATTCCAAGATTCCAATTATCTTCTTCTTCCTGGCAGCTTTAGCCAGGGTCTGCCTTACATGTTGTGAATAGTTTTGTCTAATTGTTAATTTACGACCGGCCGCATTGCCTGACATCAACGCTCTTTGGGAATGCATTAATCAGTGATGTCTAAATACTCTTATAAAGTACATATGACTCGGAAAAATCACATTGGTACTTGCCAGGATCGAACCTGCGCCTTCTAGCATGAGAGGCGAGCCTTTTACCTCCAGGCCACCACTGATACAATGTGTACATACCTTTAATATTTAATATGTACTCACCTTTAAAGGTAGACTGTGAGCCGTAAACATTATCAACACTTGATCTCTTATTTTTGCATCAAATAAGTTTAGTTTTTCCTTTATCCTTTCAGCGAATACCTTTGCTAAGTGCTTATTGGTGCCCCAACGTTCAATAAGACTGAATTTTATGTCCGGCAGTTCCCTAGAAACATTTGTTTTTTAAATGGATGTAATTATTTTAATAGAACTTATAATGGATGTAGATTGTATGTTTGAGAAGGATAGTCATTAAGAAATTTTGTTTGAATAAATGTTAAATGCAAGAGATATAGTGGATATAAGTTTTTTAACATGAAGATATATTTTTCTATAATTATTATATTAATAGTATATATACATATATATTTTATAATATTATGTAAGATGACATGCAAAGTTCATTAATGAATTTGACATACATATATACAGGGTGACTGGTGAGTTACTATCAATATTTAAGGAGCATACTCGGTACATGATTCTCATTCGAATTATGTAAAAAAAATAGGTACTTAATTTTTGACCAAATTTCCGTATAAATAAATAAAGTTTGGATACGTACTCATCCTTGCCGGCGCCAGTGTGTCGCTACTCCCCAACCCCCGCCCCGTGGCTAGCGGGCCATTAGTCGGCTATTAGTCGCGCCAGCGCCGCCGTAAGGTCCGTACGTTCGTCTTCCCGCGCGCGCGCGCCTAGCGATCGATCTTACGCGTATACCTAATAATAATCTGTCGTGTGTGCGTGTGACCCGTTATTACTTATTAGTAATTAAATATGGCTTTTCAATACACAAATGCAGAATACTTGGACATGGTTTATGCGTATGCGCGTGCAAATGAAAGCTTGCGGGGCGCAATCAATTTGTACCGGGAGATGTTCCCCAATCGTCGAGTACCTACGGCCAGCGTCATCTTAAACGCTAATCAAAGATTACGAGACTTCGGACAGTTCCGTGTTCCAACACATGCCCAAGGAAACGTCTTGTGTATGCTACAATGTATGTCAACAGAGAGGAGTTGAAATTAAAAATCAATAGTGCTTTCGAAACTATTAAAAGTGACCCATTCGTATTAAATCGTGTGAAAGACAATATGTGTAAACGTGCCGAACTGTGTATCACACGAGAAGGAGCTCGCTTTGAACATTTGTTAAGGTTAGTGTAGTTATGTAGGTAAATAGGTAGTTTAATGATTGACAATTGTTGTAAATAAGAATGATTCCATTTTTAAATACGCCGGAAATACCAAGATAGGTAAACAGTTCATATTATTTTTCGTGTCAAGGTCACACCATTTACCTAGTCAATAAATTGGTTGCTTAAACGAAAGAAATATCTTGGTATTTTTGCCTGTCCTAAGCCAGGATTAAAGTATGAAGGGAATTGGATCATTTTTGTTTATCTAAGGTCTAACACGCGGCGGCGCGCGGCGTTTGGATGTAGGTAAACTACCGCGCGATAACTACATATACCTACGTACATAACTGTTTTGTGTCGATAACGCAGCTAGGGTATCCACGCGATCCGTAATTAATTACACAACTTTTGGTTAACTTTACTTAGAAGTTTATTAATATTTATGTTATATTAATTTTTATTTTGTCATATATGATCGTCAACTACCACGTCCTTAAATATTGATAGTAACTCACCAGTCACCCTGTATATGTATATATTATGTAAAATGTCCATTGGAATGTATAAAAAAAGGTTATCCAATGGCATAATTACTTCAAGATTGTAGTTTTCTGTAACAAATTCATTGGCAAATATTGTCCTAATGAGATATATAATACATATTTCCTTTATCCTATAATTTAGACATTGTTAGACAGATTTTGATGTTACTTAACAAATGTTATAGTTAATACTCACCGTTTCTTATAATAGTCAGCTATAACATTTAAACTGGAACCCGTTGTAGCACAACTGTATTGAGGATATTGTGAAAATATTACAGCTCTTTTCACACCATCACTGGAAAAAAAAAATATGTATATATATTAAGTGAAACATGTTTGTTATTCTTAAAACTAAAATATATTTAGTATAAATAGATTTTGATGAATATACAATAATATATGTCATATATTAGAATAACACATAGTATATAATGTATCGTTCAGTCCGTGTAGTTCCCGTGAACACTTCATAACAGATGTATTGTATGAAGTAACGATACAGGATATAAACATATAAAATACTCTTAACAGTCGCTTATCCAATTAAAGTATCAAAATTCAAATCTAAAGAAAATAGTGCATAGAGACATTCCGAGTATAAGAAGTGAAACTTCGTCATATGAAAATGAAAATAGATATTAAGTTTTACTAAACTCATATTGTTTTAAGACAAACTTTATAAAATAGCTTACAATTACAATAGTCCCAACCATTTACTTTCGCTCCGTCTCTTTCTAACCCTCCAAAAACGTTGAACGTTTAACGCAACCTTGAAGTCGCATTAGAAGTTGCACTTCATTTATCATATATAATATATACTTGCTATTTTATTATATTTATTCCTATTATTATTTAGGCAGATTTTGATTAAAGCTGGGAAATTGCGAGGTAGAAGAAGATACTTCCTAATTTGTATTTTAATTAAAATGTATATTTTATATGTGAGAGGACAACATGCAAAATTTAAAAGGTGAATTTCACACATATAAGTTATTGTAAATTTCCATTGAAATGTAAAAAAAGGTTATTGGAATTGCATAATTACTTCAAGATTTAAGTTTTCTGTATCAAATGTATATACTCACCGTTCCATTTGGTCCAATGTCTCCTCGGTAAATGGTGGTACATATCTGAATGCTATGTAGTGTTTGTGAGGAGCTGACTCGGGCAGCATTTGGTCCAAAGTCTTGGTTAGCAATTGACCTTTAATTAAGAGGAAGTATGTTACAACTAATGATATAAACTATAGTATTGATTTAGGAATTTAATTAGGATGAAAATATAATAATAATTCAATTGAGGACAAACAAACAAATTGATAGAAACGCATCCCTGATCCTTTAATTAAGAATACAATACATATAACTCAACTTTATAACAACAAAGGAAAATTTATTTTTAAACAAATATTTATAAAATATGAAGTGGTGGCCTAGTGGTTAAAGGTCCGCCTCTCATGCATGAGGGTTGGTTCGGTCCTGGCAAGTACCAATGTGATGTTCCGAGTCATATGTACTTTATAAGAGTATTTAGACATCACTGACTGATGAAGGAAAAAATTTACTTATATAAAATTATAAGTATGAAATCACCAACCCGTCTTGAGCAAGCGTGATTATGCTCAAACCTTCTTATGAGAAGAGGCTCAGCAGTGGGCTCTGATAGGCTGATGATGAAGGTTTAAAATCAAGGAAACTTGATTTATACGATGAAAGGATTGATGAAGGAGAGCATTCGTTGTTGACTACTTATTGCACTGTATGTATCTATACAATAGATATAATACACTGTCTCACGTACCCCACTAGAAAGGCGGCATGCGCTCGGCAGTCTTACGACTAGCGCGGAGCAGAACGGGGACGTGAATCACTCTAGGCGGGGTAGTAATGAGACAGGGACTAGTTATACTTTTAGGACCAGGGATCCTACACTTATCGTTTCATCATACCTTGTAAATCCGTCCATTTGTATATTGGTGAACCTCCACCAATTTCTTCATACTTCTTCTTCACTTCTTCGGTTCTCCTGCTAGCGATCCAAGGACCAAGCTTGCTCTGAACCGGAAGTTGTATCATGTCACGATCCGTCATGATGCGAAGGAGATAATCACCCACCTAGAAACATTATTATGGACATGGTATTGACTTTAATAATACAATGTTTTATTAAATATGTGAGAAAACTGCAGTCAATAGTGCAGTTGTTGTATTGACTGTACTTCAAATAAATGAGTAGAGCAGTAAAAATTAGACATATTAAAGGAAACTAGGCAAGCTTTAAATTATTCATTATATCTTGCTGGATGGTATAAAAATATTAAAAAAATGAATGGATTACTTAATTAAGTATTAAATATTATGAAAGATTTGTTATACACAGATATGTCTAGACAGATTTTGATGACATAAAATATAGTAATACAATAAAGAATGAAAAACAAAACTAAACATAATGATAGAAATTAAAATCTATATGAAGAATTTCATCAAAACCTTTAATATTTAAATCTGCAACCTTGGTAATATCTTATTGCAGTTTTTTTTTTGCGAATTAATCCATTATGTCCTAACATAAATTCTAAAAGTTTAACTGAAATCGATCAATCTATTTTAAGAACATTAATAACATGATTACCATATTCTTTACATATCTACCTGGTCTACAGTCTTGGGGCCGCCCATATTCAACATAACAATAGCAGTCTTCGGTTTCTTGACATCTTCACTGACACACCTTACGAGAGCTTGTTGGAGTAACCTGGACCTTGTATCTGTAAAATAAATATATATATATTGGAATGTGACTTCGAAGGCAGCCCTAGTAGGTTCTTTTCAAATTTGATAGAGAGAGGAGCTTGTATGGGAGAGGTGAGCATTTAACGTTAGATAGGGTCCCTTAAACCTACACCTGGATCACAAGTCACAGTCACTGTTGAAGCTCCTCTCACTACAACGATGGACCCGGCACCCGCACTGTGAATACATGTTTTAGTTAAATATTATGTCTGAACTGCAAACTCTCAAAAACAACTCCTGGTAATGGCACAAACTAATATATAACATTAACTTAAGATAAAAAAAAACTTGTTTATTTTAATACATGTTAATCACTTGAATTATAGCAGTTAGTATGAATTTTAGTGATATTTATGTTATTCAGATACTTAAAAATATGATGCAAGTTGCATGTGTTATATTTTATAATGATATATATAAGAAAAAACTCTTAATATTAATCATGATTTTTCAAGTTGTAGGATTTAAATACCAAAAGAAATTTGTAATGAATTAATTTGTTCACTAAATTAATGAGTTAAATATAATTTAAACATTAAGTTTGTAAATGTAACAACATCTAAAAACGAAAGAAAAGTTATATAAAATATTTCAACATTATTAAAACACGTTTTTATCAACTTTTATTTTGCCCTATATATTTTTTCCTATTTTCTTAATCGTAATATATATTAAGCCGAAATTTATCACAATAAATTTAATACCATATCCTTGTAGTAAAAAATATGAAATATGTTATGCAAAATTACAAAATCACCTTAATTTCACCAAAAATAGGTTTCAATTGTTACGGAATAATTATGCAATTTATGAATTAAAAATTATAAAATCAAGCAAATCCTACAAATTAAAATTGTTAATTTTTATATATTAACGGTAATTATTTAATATACTTACAAATTGAACTAAACATGTTGCCCAAAATTGACGAGATGTGTGATATTTTATTAAATAGAAAGGTTCTTGGAATAAAAAAACAATATAACACGAGCGGGTTTCAGCCAATTTTTTATTATATCGACCTTAATAACTTCATTAATATACACTTTTTGTAATTTTTTCACTATGTATACCACATTCTTGATAACACTGGGCTGACTTTTACTTTTTTATAAATGTGAAATGACAATGTCAATGATTTACAATGTGTTTTACATTTAAAAACATGTTAAATGAAATATTTTATATTAATTAAATTTTTTAATAATAATTAATTATCCATTATAAAAGCATTAATGTGATATGTCCATTTTATACAGAAAAAGTTTTAAAAAATGTATAAAAGAAATATATTGAAACATTTAATATTATTTAGAAATATTCTCTATAGTATCAATTATCATATATAGTGCTTATTAAATTATTAAATTAAGCAAAAAAACTCCATCGTATAAAATAAATAAATATTTTGTCTTAATCTGTGCGACTTAGAAACTTCTGCTCAGGTTATTTACATCAAAGTGGAACGTCAAATATTATTTTGGTGATAAAAATAATTGGAGTTTCATTTAATTCAGGAATATTATAAAGTATTAAGATGTCCTGCCGTAACGCTTCTCATGCGGGTAGCTGGTACACTGAAAATGGTAAGGGCTATCTATCTTCTTATAACAATAATTATATTCTTGTTATAACTAAATATAAAATATATTTAAAGCAATATACATTTTAATGGATATCATTCTTTTGTTTATGTGTAATAAAGACTCATAAAGTTAATGAGGACAAAGAAAATTTTAACTCAGAAAAATTTTAGAAAATCGTCTATATATTCATAAAGATCGTTTAATAATCTATTTTGCTGGTAAATAAGTTTTATTCATTTGTTTTTAAATAATGTAGTTTATTTTGTGTGGCTGTATAAGGTCAGCATCGATTCATAATTATACAGCCTGTTATTAAAAAATCTTATTTACAAGATAAATCCCTTTGTTTAATGTCGGCCTTGATCATGACGTTAGCAAAAATCGTTCAGAAATTGTGTATGTAATTTGACTTTCTAATATTTATTTATTTATTTCTAATAAATCTAAAATATTATTTATTTTCTGTATAAAACTAAGGCTATTATTAATTTAATTAAAAATAAATATATTTGTTATTAGGAATGTTATGTTTCTGAACGTTACCAAGAAATGGTTGTTAGGGAATTATTTTCAAATAACTGTCAACAGATCACGGAATAAAGAAAGTGAAATATTTTTTATCAATTTATAAGCGATTCGAGTTAAAATAACGATGGATAAAAATAAAATGGCCCCACCGTCTAAAAATATAAGACCCAAACGACCTTCAACCGTGTCAACAGCGTCTACATCGCGTAAAGTATTACCGAGTAAAGATAAAAATACGAACGAACTTAGAGCTAAAGTGAACAAAAATGCCACAATTATCGGCGACGGAGATTTAACAATGTGTAAAACTGATGCCATGCCCAATTTCGATGCTGAATACAGACAGGTAGCGTATGGAAAATTTTTACGCGCCTTATTAGAAGACTGTCTAGTCGAAGAGAAGATTGAGAGAGAAGAAACGCAAATGGACATCCAGATGGCTCAGCTGGCTGATAGGTTCCAGAAGACTATGGATCAGCTCGATAAAACCAATCGGAGACTTAAAGATATCAGCTTCGTCGTGGAACAGAAAAGGTGAGTTTCAACCATGTATGTCGTAACTAATATAGATATTCATATAGAATTTCGTGATATTATTGAACTTTAGAATAGTTTCTGACAATATTTCTATATATAAACTAAAGAGTTAATTAAAATAAGCACAAACACTGAATTAAACCTTCTCCATGTGAGAAGAGGCCTTTGCTCAGCAGTGGGCTCTGATAGGCTGATGACGACACTATTAAACATATATTAATAACTTAATCTGTACATATATCTCATAATTATCACTTATACCAGTTTTGTAATAATTTCCAGACTTCTAGATCTCAAGAATCAGGATTCGAACACATTCTACAACATCACCGATGATTCTAAGATAGAGGAATCTCTGAATGATCTCAAAATGACAGAAGAAGCTTGTCTCGATAGACTTGAAACTAAAAACGTTGATTTCGGCTACAACAAAGACTCGGGACACAAACAACTTCTGGATGCAGTCAACGACGCCATCGACGGCCTGGAACAGATAAAGAAACATTCGAATCTAGATATAAACAAATTCAAAGAGTATGAAAAATCACATAAAGGTCTAAATCAATTGGAAAAAGATAGATTTGATTTAGAGAGTCTCAAATCTGAATTTGAGACCAAATTTCCTAAATTCAGCGAGAAATTATTGAAAGATATATCGGAGAAAATAGATACTATTATGAATGATAATGAAGATGCAGACTAATATATATATTGTGATTTTTGTTATATGTAAAATTTCGTTACTAAATAAACATATATATAGTTTTTTTGTAAATTTTCTTTCATTGTATATATTTAGTGAATGTACGACTTGAAAGATATTTTTAATGAAATACATAATTCTTCATACATAAGCTAAGATGCTATGTAACAATATATTATACAGGGTGACTGGTGAATTACTATCAATATTTAAGGAGAATACTCGGTACATGATTCTCATTCGAATTATGTAAAAAAAATAGGTACTTAATTTTTGACCAAATTTCCGTATAAATAAATAAAGTGTTGACACGTTCCAAGTGTGAACGCGTGCGGCGGCGTGGTGTTGTATCAGCACGCGTGTGTGAGTGTGTGTGTATACCTAATCTGTAGGGTGTTCATACGATGCGTAATTAATTACATAACTTTTGGTTAACTTTACTTAGAAGTTTATTAATATTTATGTTATGTTAATTTTTATTTTGTCATATATGATCGTCAAATATCACGTCCTCAAATATCGATAGTAATTCACCAGTCACCCTGTATACATATATATGTATGTATGTTTTTACCATAATCTTTACCCAAATAACACAAAAGATTTCTTTTACTTGAATTGTTTCATCAAATGGTAAATTAGTAATTACTTCTCTATATGTTTTTTTTAATATAATATTAATATGATTTAAGTCTTTGAAACTCTTAGAAATATTTTATTATCTTATATATATACTTTTTAATAAAAAAACATACATTTAAATTTCATTCCAGAAATTATATTATAGTTGTAATAAAATAATTTAGTTCTAAACAAACAATACAATATTCAAATTGATTTACAAATCTTTTTATTTCTAGTAACACTCAATTATACGTGGAAATACATGTCTTATAATTGTACTAGTTTTAATGATTTCTTATAATAATAATCGACTCTTGAAAATTATCTATAGATACAGATATTAAGATTTTATTATTGAGAGTGATCTTATAAGTGTAGTTGATAGCACTTGGCACTTATTGTTTTAAAAGTTACTACTAGTAATGAGAAATACTTATCATCCCTACTAATATTATAAATGCGAAAGTAAATCTGTCTGTCTGTTTGTTACGCTTTCACGTCTAAACCACTGAACTGTTTTTAATGAAATTTGGTACAGACATAGAGTTGACCTTGAGAAAGAACATAGGACAGTTTTTATCCCAGACTTTTCAAAAGAGCTCTTGGAAACGCGATATAACCGAACTCCAAGCGGGCGAAGCTGCGGGTGGAAAGCTAGTATGAAATATTTTTCAATTATTGAGTGAAGTAAGCGGAATTATTCCTTGCAGATTATCTGACAACCGAATGTACGATTAAGACGAGGTTTTATATACGATAGACTAGTTATATAGATTGGTGTTTATAAAAAACAATTTAGATCGGACTATTAATTTCAAATTTAGGTTATGTATTGTCCAAAAAAATGAAGAAGTTTAGTCACTCGATTGGCAAATAGAGCTTTGTTTTGGGCGAACCCAGAAATTCAAGATATATTTTCTAGTTCACATAGAATTTTATCCATACATTGAATACCAATATGGTATAGAACTGCCAAAAACACGAATATCCATCTTTTGATTGATATTACGTCAATTTACCTGATGATTAACTGGTTCCAGGGTCAGAATTGTCAAGACAGTTGGATCTCTGGCTGTCCAAGGCTGATCTGACACACGGCCCAGCGAGAGCCATTATAGCACCGTAAGTATATAATGTATCTTTATATATAAAAGAAAGTCGTGTTAATTACACTATTTATAACTCAAGAACTGTACGGGTTTGGATGAAGATTGGTGGAGAGATAGATTAGAACAAGGACATAGGATACTTTACATACGATTGAAAAAGAAAAAATATTTGATCAAATCAAAAATCTTCTTATGTACTTTCTTTAAGGAAGAACAGAGTTCGCCCGTATATACATTAATAATTCTAAATCTAACGCAGACGAAGTCGCGGCCAAAAACTATTACGTATTATATAACTCAACACATAATAGCTTCGTATAATTGCTAAAACAATGTTCATCTAATTTAATTGAAAATATAGTGTAAAGTTGGCAGACCCTGGCTAAAGCTGGGAAATTGCCAGGAAGAAGAAGAAGAATGTAAAGTTCATTGATACTAGATTATTTGTCAAAGTATACATCGTTATTCTGAAAGACATATATTCGAAACCACTACTTATGAATTTTTTGCCATTCTGTCTTAATTGTATGAATGAACACAATGAAATTCGCACCAAATAACATACATATATAATATTTTTCGATTTAAATAACCCTCTTTATTTTAAGTTGGTCAAATTTATTTCAGCCACGCCGGTTACTCGTACTGCGGCGCGTGCGCAGCCTTCGCCTATAGACAAGTCAGTCCTTTAGTAGTGTGAGTATATATTATAGAAGATTCATTATATATATATTATACCCTATGTTTTTTTGTAAAATTAATTATATGTATAAATGTATGAACATTATAATATAATCAAACACTGTTTTATTGTTTCATACTTTTGATTGAATAAAAAATATATGTTTGACTCCAAGTATAAATAGGATTTACTATTATTTCCACTCGTTGATTGATTCAATGTTTGTCGACTTGTTGATTGACTGATAATTATGAATCATATACATATTTTTATAAATTTATATATACACTAGAAGACCCGGGGAACTTCGTATCGCCCTATAATCAAGAAATATCTGTTACGTTTTTTTATTTATATTTTTGGAGTTAAAATCTCCGTGTTTTGAAGTGCGACAGAAAGATTGACATATTAGTTAGTTGTCAAATCTAATGTAAAAAAAAAAGTTTGTATCAACAACTACTAATAAATTAAAAATTAATTAAAGAAACCTTGTCCAGCGGACAAAATTGTGAATATAAACCGTTCCCAGATCCCCTTGAACACACACAAAAAATTTCATCAAAATCGGTCCAGTCGTTTGAGAGAAGTTCAGTGACATACACACTCACAGAAGAATTATATATATAAAGATAGATTTAAACCTCATTAATTTTACTGTGTATTTTAAATACTCTATTACCATTATTAATATATTAATTTGTTTTTCATCTTATTAGACTTAGAATATTCTCCTCTTACATAGAATTGTCTATAAAAGATTTCTCATAGCAATGATTCCTTGATCTATTTTATGTACGATAAAAAATCATAAATTAAAAAATTAATATCAGTTATAACCTTTTATGATTGAAACATGATTGATTCATTAAGAGAGTCTGACTTTGACTGACTTTATTATCGACTCGTTGATTGATTGATTGATTAATTTATTATTTGATTGATTGTATGTTTCCAGTAAGCGTATCTTCATCTTGGGTCCATCTCACCACGTCCGTCTTCGAGGCTGCGCTTTATCATCACTAGACAAGTACGCGACCCCGCTGTACGACCTCACTATTGATAAACAGAGTATGTATGGGAGATTTATTCATTTATTCGTTTATTTATTCAATAAATAGGTTTTTTTATGCCTACTCCCTCTAACATGGTCAGAGTCTTTTTCTGCTATCTACATTCATACAAGTTGTCGCTATTGTAAGGGCCTGTCATTCTGCATTCTAGTTCTTTCTTTCATTCATCTCATTCTTGCCTGGGATCTATCTAACCGTGTATTTACATTTCTCTATTACATATAACTATAGGGTGCTATTTCATTTATTTACATTGGAGTCATATTTATTGCAATATATTTCTATTCCTATTTTTATTTATAACATTATTTTTTAATATCCTTACTATTCTTACTACTAACAATGGGTTAAATTGCTGGTAGAATTATAGGCTACAAAATTTACGTCATGCATGAGGACGTGGGTTCGATCCTGGCAAGTACCAATGTGATTTTTCCGAGTCATATGTACTTTATAAGAGTATTTAGACATCACTGATTAATGCTGATTCCCAAAGAGGCAGGCGTCCGGTCGTAAAAACAATTAACAAAAACTATTCACAATATGTAAGACAGACCCTGGCTATAGCTGGGAAATTGCCAGGTAGAAGAAAAATAGGCTAGAAAATTTATTCTGCAATTAATATTTCAATTAATTTATTAGATTTTAAAGGCAAGTAAAAAGATATCATGATCGAAGGAAGGGGAAAATATAAAGATAAAAAGTAAGATATAATTATAAAATCAGGTAGTTTTTATAGTATTATGTGAATTGATATTTGCAATATATACAAATGATTACAAAACAAATAGTTTATATATAATAATTTTGATTTAATTGTATTCTAATATAAAATTATTTCATTAATTGCAAATATATATAATATCAAAAAAGTTATGTTTCTATTTAACGCAGAAGTTATAACTAGTGCGAATTTCAATATGTTTGTAAATCTAATACACAGTATATTATGTATATTAAGTTAAAATACTATTAAAAACTTACTCATCTCAAACATATAGAGTTGATTAAAAACTTGACAAAACATTGGAAGAATTCAATTATGTATGTTAAATATAGTGCAGTGGCCATCTATATTACAATATATAATATATACACATAAGGATATATTTTTGTAATATATAAATAATTGTATAACAATATTTTTCATACTATCTAAGAACCGATCTATATAAACCTCCTATTCTCCGCTAGATGGCGTTGTCAACAATTTTTAAAATATATTTTTTTTGTATCAAAACAATAATTGATTTATGCTATTTCATGTTTATATTAAATTAAATTTCAAGGTTTGTAATTAATAATTTAAAATTATTATTAAACAAATAATTCTTTATTATTAAACTAGATGTCGCTACTTGTATTGTAGATCGCGGTATCGCTTCACTTTTCGTATAACTTTGTATACTGAATCAAGTCGTTTGGATCGTCAACCGATTTTGATGAAATTTTGTATTTTTTGAATGGCTTGTCTCTCTTTCAAGAGATAACAAGTCAACATAATATTCATGAAATCTGAAATCGTGACCGAATTTTAGATTTTTATAGTTTACGTATTCGTTATTCGTGTCTATTCGGTCGAATTAAATATGTAACCATATATATTATATACTCTTATAAATCTAAATGCTTTATATATAATCATTCCCTATTGTTAATTTTTGGTTTCAATTTTTTGGTTCAGGAAACTTATTTTATTTTGCATTCTTAGTGAACAATATACTTTTATAGTAGTGTTCGTAGTTTTTCTAGTAATGATAGGTCGAAATGGCTGAAGTCTTAGTATAATATTATATTAATTGTCATATATGTACATTATTTTGTTTGTATTATTATCCAGTATACGCGGAGCTGGAGGCGACCGGTCAGTTTGAGTTCATGGATGTACAGACGGATGAAGATGAGCATTCCATAGAAATGCATCTACCATACATCGCTAAGGTTATGGAGGAGTGAGTTATATATCACTACTAATATTATAAACGCGAAAGTAACTGTCTGTCTGTCTGTTACGCTTTCAAGCCTAAACCACTGAACTGATTTTAATGAAATTTAGTACAGACATAGAGTTGACCTTGAGAAAGAACATAGCATAGTTTTTATCCCAGGCTTTTGAAAGGATCTCTTGGAAACGCGATATAATCGAACTCCACGCGGGCTAAGCTGCGGGCGGACAGCTAGTATGTAATATAATAAATAGTTACCAACCGAGATTCAAACCCCAGTCTACCGAGATATAGCATAGTAATCACTTAGATAACTGAGCTAAAGTATTCATACTTCATCCATTTAAATAAAAATTAGTTTATATATAAGATTAAACTTAAATAAAGTTCAGTATATACTTGTAATGTATTTTGTTGTACTTTGTTATTTTGTATATTTATATATATAATGATTTATTTCAGATTCAAAACCGCATTCACCATCATACCAATCCTAGTTGGTTCTTTATCACCAGATAGGGAAGCGAAGTGAGTTTTAAAATTATTTATATTTATAAACTATCATAAATAAAAGTATCCTATTTTACTCTGTTAAACATTACTATCTATCAGTGAAAATACCATCAAAATCTGTTATATATCTATATATAGATGAACTTCAAAATAACTTCATTCTACCTAAGTTTTTCCTGTCTTGAGCAAGAGTGGTGATTAATGGTCTAACCTTCTCCATGTGAGAAGAGGCAGCTCAGCAGTGTGCTCTGATAGGATGATGATGATAGTTTTAACCGAATATCCACAACTTTCAGATATGGTGCTATCCTGGCTCCATACTTGGCTGATCCTCAAAACCTAGTGGTGATATCATCAGATTTTTGCCATTGGGGCTCAAGATTCAGATATACTTGGAGAGATGGAAACAGAAATATACACCAGGCCATAGAATGGTTGGACCATCAGGTATTTTAATTATTCAAAGTATAATAATCTTAATAAAATACAGAGTGGAGCTTGTACGGTGTAGGTGATCGTTTAACGTAAGATAGGGTCCCTTAAACCTACAACTGGGTCACAAGTCCCAGTCACTGTTGAAGCTCCTCTCACTACAACGATGGACCCGACACACGCACCGTGAATATATTGAATGATGAGAGGTTTCATCCCATCTCTATGTTTTTCAATTTAGTTACCACTAATAAGCGTTGAATGTTTTTGTTAATTTAGTATCCATAGTTTTAATTTTTTTTGTAGGTTTTAATTTGTGACACATGTAGCAAGTTTAATTTAAACAATTGTCTTGACCAAATGACATGAAACTTTAAATTATTAATGGCTATAAGTGACGTCATTTTCAATAAAATATGGCGGATAATCGAAAATGACGGGGATAATATTTGAGGTTACCAAGATATGGAGTTATAATGAAATATTTATCAAGAAAAAATTAAAAAGGGATATTATGAATTGTTTTCAAAAATATTGCAATACAAATTCTTGTATTATGTTTATTAACAAACAGCATACACATAAATTATATTGGTCTTTGCCCGCGACTTCGTCTGCGTTACTTACAGAATTAGAAATATATTTCTGACCGGGCGAACACTATTTTTTCCTTAAAGCCAGTAGATAAGAAGATTTTGGATTTGATCAACTTATTTATTCTTTTTCAATCGCATGGAAAGTATCCTACTTATGCTCTTTCCCTTGTTCTACTGCACCAATCTTCACCCAAACCCGTACAGCCGTTCTTGAGTTATAAATAGTGTAACTAACACAACTTTCATATAGATATATCCTTATAATATTGTTATATTTCCAGGGTATGTCTATAATAGAGAAGCTTGACGCCCGCGGCTTCAATAACTATTTAGACCAGTACGGAAACACCATTTGTGGTAGACATCCGATCGGTGTACTTTTACAGGTAAAAAACGAAGTATTATACATTTTCTTGCTTAGTATTGATTAATTATATAAATATATTAAGAATAGCAAGATAATTGGACAAGAGAACACAGAAAATATATCGTCGGGGATAGTGAAAATTTTTTTTTTTTTTTTTTTTTTTTTTTTTTTTTTTATGTGAAAGGTGGCAAACGAGCAGACGGCCCACTTGATGGAAGGTGGTTACCGTCGCCCATAGACATCCGCAACATTTTGTTGCGGATGCGTTGCCAACCTTTTTTTTGGGGATAGGGAGGGGTGGGAATAAGGAAATGAAAGGAAAGGGTAGGAATAGGGAAAGGGCAACCGGCTCTCTCACTCATCAGACGAAACGCAGCCAGTAAAGGCTACTTCACGCCGATCTTCTGTGAGAGGGTGGTACTTCCCCGGTCGAGCCAGCCCATGTTCGAGCTGTAGTAACTCACCACAGCTAGGCTCTACCACCCATATGTATATATATAATAAATTAAACACTAAATAATTACTAATTGTGAAAAAAATACCTTAAAAGTCGTTAATATAGAAAATATTTCAGATTAAACTTTCTTCTGATAATAATCTGCTTCTAATGTAGATACGTAGATTTATCCAAAGCTAGTTACGCGGATTTGCACTATCCTCGACTATATATATACATATTATATACTCGTCATGGTGGCCTAGTGGTTAAAGGAACGCTTCCCATGTATGAGGGCGCGGGTTCGAAACCTGACAAGTACCAATGTGATGTTTCCGAGTTATATGTACTTTATAAGAATATTTAGACATCACTGATTAATGCATTCCCAAAGAGGGTTGATGTCAGGCAGGCGGCCGGTCGTAGAAACAATTAGCCAAAACTATTCACAACATGTAAGGCAGACCCTGGCTATAGCTGGGAAATTGCCAGGTAGAAGATATAGCTAGCCGTTAATACGTATATTATGTTCACAGGCTTGCGAAAAGCTCAGATGTCAGTCGGGTGCTCCTCAAATGTCAATGAAGTTTCTTAAGTACGCTCAATCATCTCAATGTATGACTATGAGAGACTCATCTGTGTCATATGCGAGCGCCTCACTTGTTATGGAGTAATGATACTTGGTTCATGATTATAATGACACATATATATATCTTACTAGCTGCGCCCCGCGGTGTTACCTGCAGATTTCCGGGATATAAAGAAGCCTATGTGTTATTCCTGGACGTCAGCTTCCTGTATACAAAATGTTATCAAAATCGGTTCAGCCCTTTGAGCGTGACGAAGTAACAAACATACACACACACTCAAACTTTCGCAATTATAATATTGGTAGGATGTATAAAATTCTCGTGTCGCGGAGTTAGACAGAGAACTCCTCCGAAACGACTGGACCGATTAGGATGAAATTTTGTGAGCATATTGTAGGTCTGAGAATCGGCCAACATGTATTTTTCATACCTAAGTCATAAGGATTGTTCACTTTTATTTTCGGACAAAATTATTTGATTTTTTTAAAATAATGTAGCATTAAAAATACATACAACCCAAAATTTTTACTCTTTTATCACCAAACCCTATTTTTTATATTGCAAAACGTTTGCCGCGTCAGCGAGTATATATATGTGTCATTATTTTAGTTGAGATGAAGAGTAATTAATGTTTCAATATCAGACCAGTGTTTTTCAATCTGTGAATCGCGATTATTTACTCAGAGGCTCGTTGACAAAAAGAAAAGATAAAATTGTACCATACAAAAACTTAATTGTAATTAGAAGTATGGGCATTTTTTTTAAGCATGTCAATTAGTGTCCTATTTTTGAAATATTAACTTTCAAATCAGCATGTAATTGAAATATTTTTCTATTTTTGTTTCGATGTTCACTATTGCAGAGAATGTCTTTAACTTAAATATGTTTTTAGACTTTTAATTTAATAATTTCCTTGCCTGTCTATGGCACATGGGTCGTCAAAATTGTAGAACCCACAAAGAGATTGAAAAATACTGGATTAGAGCTATATTTGATAAATTCTGTTGTGAGTTTCTTTCAAATTGATCTTGTTATAAAATGTTTCTTTGTCTACAGCTTTCTATAAGTTATAAAGTCTCAAATATATAATTTTAAGTAAATAACAGTTTTATTATGTTTTGAAAGTAGATTTATAATATATAATTGTCTTAATTATAAATAAATCTGAGGTTTATGAAAGAACAAATTTATTTTAAGTTTTTTTATTACTAATAAAATAAACAAGTTTAAATATAAGAAATTTCTATTGTTTCTATAAAATATATAAGTAACAAATTAGTATAAAAATGTAATTTGGCACACTTTTCATATGATTTAAGGTAATTTTAGGTGAATATAACCAATTTATTGGCAGCTTGAGTGAAAAGTAATGTATAACCATTGGAATTGAGTATGAGGAGTGAAAAATTTGTTTAGTTATGGAATATTTGTTATTTTAGGACCGGTAAGTGGAACTCAAATTCGAAGAGCTTTGTCCTTGTAGCATTTACTATGTAAGACTAATAAAGATAATTTAAGATAATGAATGTCTTTTATTTAATACCACAATCAAGGATTTGATGAGAAGTTTAAATAAGTAGCAAGTTTATTAAAGAAAATATTATTAAAATTGGCATTAAAGTTATATTGTTTATTTAGTTCAATAAATAAAATAAAATACTTATGGAATTAAGAATTACTAGATGGCGAAGCGACTGAAACGAGAAATTTCACAAAATGCAGGTTTTATAATTAAAGTAGATGATTTTTTTTATTTAATTGATGTTAATTTTCTTACATACTTAAAATAACACTGTAGTCTGTTAGACTTAGACCCAGTTTCACCAATCATTGTTAAATAAGTAACATCGTGTTAAGGCGTTTGATGCTCCGTTAGATGTATCGAGCGTCCCACCACGCACAAATATCCGTTTAAATGTCTTAACCAGCCACTAATATTAATTCCTGCTCTGGAGCTCCGTCTAATGGCTAACATGACTGTTAATGGCATCGTCGAAACTCAGTTGTCCAATCACAGCCCTGATTTCTAGTAACCATAGTAACGTCATCTGATTTGTCAGTTTTGACTATTTCCTTGTTATTACATATAAATAAAATGAATTAAAATGTCATTTAGTATGATGATTTTTCCTCCAGCTTTTCTATGACATTGCAAATTAAGTTTTCTTTTTTATTTCTTATAATTTGAGCACAATTTATGTCTATATTTATAACACAATTTATTGACAGCACGATTTTGACAAGTTACACCTAAGAAAGTGAAAAGAAAGCTTTTTGTGTGCCAAATGTATGCAACCAACGATATTTCAAATTTGGTCGCATTACATACCTTACAAGTGACATATCGAGGGATATATACGATCAAAGTATAAAGTGGTGCATCGTGGCAAACGTGCCGTTACTCATCTCAAACATATGGAGTTGATTAAAAACATGACAAAACATTGGAAGAATTAACTTATGTATGTTAAATATAATGTTGTGGCTATTAATATTATAATTAATAATAAATATTATTGTGTGCAGAATTTTTCATACTATTGATATACCATTCAATATTAATCTCCTATTCTCCGCTAGATGGCGTTGTCAACATTTTTTTTAAATAATTTTTGTATAATATTGATTTATTTTAATTCATATTTACATTAAATTAAAAGTAAAGATACATAAGTATGTAATAATTTAAATTTATTATTAAACATACGTTTCTTTATTATGAAACTAGATGTCGCTACTTGTATTGTAGATCGCGGTATCGTTTCACTTTTCGTCCAACTATGTATTCTGAACCAAGTTGTTTGGATAGTCAACCGATTTTGATGAAATTTGGCATTTTTGGAATGGCTTGACTCTCGTTCAAGGGATATCAAGTCATTATAATTATCATATAATACATATTTGTGACCGATTTCTAGACTTTTCTAGTTTTCGTATTAGGTATTCGTGTCTATTCGGTTTCGTATATATGAGGCCGAATTAATTATATGTAACCATATGTTTGTTGAATCCGATGATAGATTTGTACTAAGCGACTATATGTTTTAGACAGTAGCCATGAGATGGTGCTTTTTGGTAAAATTATAATCGAATAAGACTTAACGTATTGTTGATTACTTTCTTTTTAAGTTATGCCGGAATCAATAATTTATTAAAGTAGAAAAGGCACAATTGGTGGAATGCAGAATTAAAAACTTAGGTTATTAAGTCTCCTAGTTAACACTGAGAAAGTCGGTAATTTTTGATGTATTGTGGTTTCTTATTATTTTTATTTTAAAGCACTTTTTTTTAGTTTTTCACTGAAACATCAAAATATTATATATTTCCTTGACATTTTGCACTTTTATTTTTACTCAATATTTGTTTAATTAGCGGAAATAGTTAATACATTGTAATTATACACGAAGTTGATGTTAACAGTGAAGCAGTGGCGCCTCCTCCACATATATATATAGTAATTATGTAATAATTACGAAAATAAAATATTAATACAATTACATACTACCAAAATAATCGAACAGTCGAATAGTTTTACATGATTCTTTTTTTATCAAATAGGTAATAATGTTTACTTTTTTATAATTAGGGATGAGTAAACGGTAGAGTAAACAAATACAATCAGAAATCTCCGAATTGATAAGCTATCGGGAGTTTCACGTGTTATTGTGAGTCAACCATAAAAGATAGACATATGATGTCTGGGAATAATTTGTATATAATTTTAAGGAGAATATTCCCGTCATACATGATTTCTATGTAGCTTTAACGTATAAGCCTGCACACGCGACGGAAGCTTAAAAAATATAGTAACTTCTCCAATTTTCCCAATATTTCCCTTCACTGCTCTGCTGCTATTGATCGTACGATAATGAAAAGTATATTTTAACCTGCCCAAGAGTATGAAGAATAATGTGCTAAATTTCGTTAAAATCCGTCGAGTAGTTTTCGTTTCTATAACGAACAGACAGACAGATAGACAAAAATTTTACTGATTGCATTTTTGGCATCAGTAGCGATCCCTAATCACTCCCTGATAGTTATTTTTTAAATATATTTTATGTACAGAATTGACCTCTCTACAGATTTATTATAAGTATAGATTATGGAAAAAATTATTAAATAATAAAAAATTATAATTAAATACTATACAAATTCTTCTTCACTTGACATTGCGTTTTTAACATTTGACGTTACCAGTACAAAGGGTGAAGTGAGGAAGGTGCGGGGCGGAGTAAAAGCAGAATAAACCGGTTCAAAACTGGAAAACTACGATGCATTCAAAAATTTGTCATCACACCTACACTATCCGTGTACACTCACACAAATACAAAGCTCAGCTTAAATCAAACGCACTAACAGTAAAATATGGATTTTTTCGTCTGTAAATTTGTTACAGTTTACGACCTTTTTCCAATATCTTCTGTATAATACGTCATTTTGATTAACCCACTAATTTTGTCATTGTCATCATCGTTCTGTCAGAACTATTAAAATCCTTGTTATTTTCTGCAATATACCTATACAATAGAACTCACCTTTGATGGAAAAATATGGAGCTATCAGAAACAAAAACATATTAATTTACCGCCGACGCAAGCATGATTCAGACCGGCACAAATCCTGGTACTATCTAGAGATAGATGAATCGTCATATATACGGAGGAACACAAAAGAAAAGAGAGGATATCATAAAAAAGAATTAAAAATGACTAAATTGAGAACAAATACTAATAAAAGTAATACAAAAGCAACAATCTTATTGAAAAAACCATCGAACATAAAAGATGTACATCAAATGACGTTTGATTTAGCGGCAAAATTTATAATAACGTTCCTTTTCACGCTGTTAACGTTCTGTGGTTATGCGTTATACAGACCAATAAACGAAATGGAATGCAAGCATTGTAAAGAATATAACTATATATTACAATAAACTGATTTAATAATAAAATTATGTAACCATTATAAAATAAACTTAATAAAACACAATTAGAATATTATTTTGGTAGAAATAAAAAGCAATTAGTAGTAAAATATAAACATTTATTCATGTTAGTATACAAGATATTTGTATAAATAAATATATTAACTAATAACAAATCAAATAAAACGATATTTCATCTAGATATATACCGGAAAGAATTTAAACGAGCAGATGGAAAAAAAATTAACTAAAACCTCATTTATAAATCCTCTTTGTATATTTCACTAACAATTTTTACAACCAAAAGTTTCGAATGGAGTTTTTTGGACATAGTATTATTACCAGTGGTCCTAAAAATATTGATGGAATTATGTAAAATACACTTTTTAATTATTTCATGACTTAAAGTAAAACATTATTTTTTTATGTAAAAAAAATGTGAATACTTTTCGGAAAATTGGGATTCTAATAATTACGTATACAAATGAAAGTATAACGAATTTTTATATAATAATTCATGGAATGTAATCAATAGAGTAGAAATAAAAAATAAATTATTATTATTTTTATATATATTTGTTTTTTTCCTAAATACAATTATTGTATATATTATACAACTTATTTTTCTTTACCCAATATTCCCGAATCAATATCGTTAAACAATGTTGCATTAAAAACAAATCATTTTCTAGTTTTTCTCAATTTTTTTTAACAAAATACAGTATTCCATTTTCCATATAAGAATGTTTGAAATTAAAAAATACTCTGTGAAAGCATCAGATTCTATAAATTATATTTTTTAACATTTATTTCTAGCCAAGAATCATTTTCACATCGAACCGCGGCTCGTTGATGGGAATTCTGAAAAAAGAAAGAAATATTTTATATGTATATGTATATTATGTATACATCTTCTACTTGGCAATTTCCCAGCTTTAGCCAGGGTTTCCTTTACATGTTGTGGATAATTATGGCTAATTGTTTTTACGACCAGCCGACCGCCTGACATCAACCCTCTTTGGGAATTATATTATATATATGTATATCTTCAATATTGATCTAAGTATATAAAGTTTTATTTGATATATCCTCTCAATATACAGGGTGACTGGTGAATTACTATCAATATTTAAGGACGTGGTAGTTGACGATCATATATGACAAAATAAAAATTAATATAACATAAATATTAATAAACTTCTGAGTAAAGTTAACCTAAAGTTATGTAATTAATTACGCATCGTGTGAACACCCTACAGATTAGGTATACACTGACACTCACACATACGCGTGTCGTGACGTAGTGTTGTATCAGCACGCCCCCGCACGCGTCCACACTTGAACACTTGGAACGTGTCAACACTTTATTTATTTATACGGAAATTTGGTCAAAAATTAAGTACCTATTTTTTTTACATAATTCGAATGAGAATCATGTACCGAGTATGCTCCTTAAATATTGATAGTAATTCACCAGTCACCCTGTATATGTTAGCAATTACAATGTAATTATAAAATATATATCTTTACTACTCACCGGGAGACATATCACTCTTGACATCTTGATCTTCCTGTAAATATATATATTAATATTAGTTCCACACTACATATTATGTATATAATTAAAATATTCAGACACTATCTTGAGGTTTTCTATTAAAAAATATATGTGTTTAATATAATCTATAATTATACTTTTCCATAACAAAAACAATTTTATGTTACTTCTATCTCTTTATAATTCCATTATCGGAACAAACTTTCTCATACATATATTATATAAGTATAACAAAGTTCTTCTTAGTCATTATTGGTATGTGTATTTCTCATACTTGTATATATATACATATTCTTCTTACAGTAATCATTGTGTGTGTGTGTGTTTGTCTGATGTGTCTCTTTACATTTTCAATAATCAAACATTATATAAGTATAATAAAGTTCTCCATACAGTAATTTCTATGTGTGAGTGTGTTTCTCTCTGTGAGTATGTGTGTGTGTATCTTCTATCTCTGTCTCTATCTATATCTCTCTCTCTCTCTCACCGTAAGCCGGCTCCTCTCCACGGTCATAGTATTCTGCGGCAGGCTACAGTCGGGCGTCACTCCCAGTGCGTTGTATATCTCACGGAGCATTACTAGCATAGTGTCTTCGGATTCCCTGGAACAAACAGACATACATACATATATTGAAATGAAATAACATGTGGAGATATATACATTATTGATTGTATGGAGAGAACATTAACAAGAGGTAACAGTTTTTTAATTGAATATTTCTTGACTACTGAGGCTTGGCAAAAAACACATCAGGCCCTGATAAGAACATACCAAATGCTTATTAAACGAATTGAAACTGATTGAACGGTATACGAGACTGCTCAGAAGTAGAGCTTGCATAAGAGTGGGAATATGACCATTTACTTTAATGTTAAATAAATTAATATAAATATCAAATGCTGTTTTTATTCATCTCAAATGGTCAGGTACAATTTAATTTCAAAAATGTTCCCGTATTAAATATTTTGTTATTTAGTCAAATTTGCTCCTTTTTTACTTTAATAACAATAACTACTTATGGCAGATACAATTATGAATTGTACCATTATGAAATCTGAATGAAACACACATTATTTTAAAACGATTGGTCACTCATGTATCCATACATTTTTTTATACCAAGCTGTCTAAAGTTTGTTAAAGATAAATTTTGATAATTTTTACAAATGAAGCTAATTTTTGTATTAAAAAAAATAAATGTGCTGTAGCTAGTCACATTATGTACTATGTATCTATCATCATAAATAGTGTATAATAATAAAACAAAAACATCAAAAAACCGATGTAATTCATTCATTTTTGGTCGTAGTATTCGAGAAAGTAAAATAAGGTAAAAAAGATTAGATAGTTCTTAAAAAATAACTTATCTTGAGTACTTATGATATATTTGTTTCGTATTTTTTCTGAACGGCCACAAGTTCAACTATAAGACATTTCAAGGTTATCCATTCTTTACTGGACACCCTGTATTTTATATACTTATGTCATAAGCGTCTGTCTGTATGTGTGTGTGTCTGTGTATATGTGTGTGTGCGTGTGTGTGTGTACTCACCAGTAGCACACATGGCTGGTCATAGCGAACAGATACTCGTTGAATATCTCGAAGGGCGCTTCTTGCAGCACGTGGTCCACGCGCCGGCCGCCGTTCAACTGACCCAACTCATCAGGAGTGGCCTTGAAGATAATTAATAATATTAAATATATTTATTATGACGGATAATTAATCGCGATAGTTAGACAAATAAAAGTCCTAGTCCTAGTGGTTAAAAGGCCCGCCTCTCATGCATGAGGGCGCGGGTTCGATCCTGGCAAGTACCAATGTGATTTTTCCGAGTCATATGTACTTTATGAGAGTATTTAGATATCACTGATTAATGCATTCCCAAAGAGGGTTGATGTCAGGCAGGCGGCCGGTCGTAAAAACAATTAGCCCAAACTATTCACAACATGTAAGGCTGACCCTGGCTAAAACTGGGAAATTCCCAGGTAAAAGAAGAGTTAGACAAATAAAAATTGATATATTTAACATCTTTATATATGCATAAATTTATTTTAAAATCTTTTTCTTTTGGATTATATATTTACGAAATCTGTAAGCATTTTAATATCAGAATGGTTGTAATAACATTATTTCTTAATCCGTTCATAGATGGCGATAATAAATGTTTGAATAAAATTTTAAGTTTACAGTTCTTAATTAAACAATAAAAATATATAAAATCTTGTTTCAAATGCTTATGCTAATATGTATGACAAAAAGATTAATATTTCTTGTCCTTAAATACAAAATAAGGTACATTATTGCTACTGGTTGATTATAGTATTATAATAAATTGATTTTCTTTTGTTGACCAAAAGATTATATGATATTCTAATTAATACCAACCTATACACATATGTATCTCTGACTACTAGGAGTCTTATGACTTTATAGTAAACTAGCCTTCCGCCCGCAGCTTCGCTCGCGTGGAGTTCGGTTATATCGCGTTTCCAAGAGAACCTTTCAAAATTCTGGGATAAAAACTATCCTATGTTCTTTCTCAAGGTCAACTCTATCTCTGTACCAAATTTCATTAAAATCAGTTTAGTGGTTTAGGCGTGAAAGCGTCACATACAGACAGACAGAGTTACTTTCGCATTTATAATATTAGTACGGATAATATAAAATATATGTATATAATCATTCTAATGATTCTATTCTTCATTAATACATATATACCTCATATTGATTATTTTCTTCTTTAGCATCTGAAGTCAGTTCTTCTTTCTCGGGGTCCTCTTGTACAACCTATAAAATAAATACATTTATTTTGAATACCATTTTTATTGACAATCAAAACACATCACTTCAGTTACGATGGCGTATTTTATATAAAGTTATATAATTTTAAGTATAATATTATTAAATCTAACCCAACCAATACCATTTCCCTTAAATAACTTCACTTCCACTCGTTTTGCCTTATATTTCCTATATACATGTAAATGATTACATGATATAACTCTCAATTCCTTTAATTTCCCCCCTACACCCCCCATATTTCCCCAAAATCCTTCCAATTCCTCTCTTACAAGTCTATCGCCCGAACTCCTTTTATATACCCTATATACCCTGAATTCCTCCGAATTCCTTCACATCCACTTCTACTCTCTCTTATATACCCTACATAGCCTATATTCCTCCTAATTCCTCCCAATTCCCCTCACCTCCACCTGCCCGGTCTCCTTCCTCCACATACTGGTCCAAGTATTCCGTATAGATTCAATCAGCTTCTGTTTAATATCCGCACCCACTCTCGCCATTGTATCCTTCAATTCTGTAACAGATAATACATACATACATGTAAATAATATTTCATTTTCAACTTGATAATGTTCAACTGTGTTATAAGTATATATTATTGTATATATAGTCTTCTTCTTCTACCTGGCAATTACCCCGCTTTAGCCAGGGTCTGCCTTACATGTTGTAAATAGTTTTGGCTAATTGTTTTTACGACCGACCGCCTGACTGACATCAACCCTCTTTGGGTATGTATATATAAATATATAATATTAAATTTACTAGCAATACATTATGTTAAAAGATATTAAATAGAATTCATGCAAATTCTATTACTATTGTAATAATTTATTTCAATTTTTATTCGTGTTATTTAACTAGAAATTATAAGAGGTTTCGTTGACACGATATATTTAGAGAGAAAAAGAAATAGAAACTGATAGTTGGTATTATTATTTACCTAAATGCATTCTTTTCCTTCCTTTATGATGTGGAATCAGGTAAGGCTTAACGTTCCTTAATGAAGGATTTATCATCGGCTCTAACCTGGAATAAAAAGAATATTAATATATAAAGGAAAAGATGACATCACTAAAAGATTACAAAATAACAAAACTAATTTAGAAATCAAATAATAGATGACAATTTATATTCATTTTGGTAATCCTCTCCTTAAAGTTCATACTGAATTACAGGTAATTATAGTCCGTTAGACTTAAGCTGAGCTTTACATTTGTGTGAGTGAAAGTAAAAGTAGAAAAGAGTTAGACAAAAAACTTTTAGAATAAAATTTCATTATATTTTAAATATATACATAACATAAGTGCTAGAACTATTCTAGATTATGATAAAATAATCAAAACTTGTAAGAGGCCAAATTTAAATATTATGGAAAAAAAAATTAAGTAATAAAAAAATTTAAAAAACAATACAAATTTTTCTTCACTTGTCATTGCGTTTTCAACATTTGATTTTGCTACAGTACAAAGGGTGAAGTGAGGAAGGTGCGGGGCGGAGTAAAAGTTGTATTAAATATTTTACATCACACCTACACTATCCGTGTGCACTCACACAAATGCAAAGCTCAGCTTACATCAAACGCACTATACATAAATTAGTCAGTGGTGTCCTAGTGGTAAAAGGGCTGTCTCTCACGCATGAGGACGCGGGTTCGATTCTGACAAGTACCAATGTGATTTTTCCGAGTCATATGTACTTTATAAGAGTATTTAGACACCACTGACTGATGAAGGAAAACATCGTGAGGAAACATGGACTTGTATCAAATTTTAAGTTGGAAATCGCCAACCCGTCTTGAGCGAGCGCGGTGATTAATGCTCAAACCTTCTCCATGTGAGAAAGAGGCCTTTGCTCAGTGGGCTCTGATAGGATGATGATGACATAAATTATCCGTAATATAAACCAAACTTACCTGTACGCTATCGGATCGTAGGGATGGAAAATGTTGAAAAAATTCTTGCAAGTCGGCAGACAGAAATCCTTTCCTAATGTCTCCACACCTCTTATACATTCAAATATAGCTGAAAACATAAAGAATTTAATTTATTGTTAAGAAGAATTAAATGTATTTCATATATAAAGAAAAAAAAAAGCCCAAAAGAAAATGTAAAATATTGATATGAACTTGTTTTAAATTGAAATCAAAGAGTGACAAAATTAAATATTATATTTTATTAATGATTAATAAATTTATAAAAATAAAAGATCAATATTTATCAGAAATACAAAATCCAGTGTGATTAATTAAGAAAAGAGGTTTTCCAAACGATTTGAATCAAAGTATTCTTATTATAACCAAATTATTATAACAAACAAATCTTATTCATACTAATATTATAAATGCGAAAGTAACTCTGTCTGTCTGTTACGCTTTCACGCCTAAATCACTGAACTGATTTTATTGAAATTTGGTACAGATATAGAGTTGATCTTGAGAAAGAACATAGAATAGTTTTTATCCCAGATTTTTGAAAGGTTGTCTTGGAAACGCGATATAACCGAACTCCACGCGGGCGAAGCGGCGGAAAGCTAGTAGAATATATATACATATGTTAGTAGAAACTTTTTTTACCTATGGGGCTCCCAAGTGCATATAAGGCATCTGGATAAAAAACTAGCCGCGGATATTTAACACTCGGTTGACCTGTACCAGCACAGCCTTGGACGTACTGCTTACTGGAATTACTTTCCAATTCCTGTAATTATTCCAGATTATAATTTAAACTATTACTACATATTTCATTACAAATTTTTAAGTATATAAGCATGAGAATTAATGATAATTTAGAAAAATTCATCCACAAAAAAAATAAAATACATTTTACCTGATAACAAATACAATTTACCTGTATGTATACCAAACTTACCTTAGCCGTCTGATGACATAGCAGATCGTATAGAATAACACTACCCAGGGAATGACCTCCCAACGAAACGCCTCCCTTGAAGTCAGGGTTCCTTGACTTAAACAACTTATATATTCTGTTCAGTTCACTGCAAACAGTGTCGACTATAGTCTGAAACAATATATAATAGAATAATTATTATATATAATATATTAATTTATAATGTAAAAGATTTTAATGACTGCAAATAAGACTTAAGTGATTAAAAAAATGAACTTTATTTTTGTACTTAACAAATATACATTACAAATATATTTTTATGTATGTTTATCATATGCATTTATATAAGTAGCAACATAATTTAATTAAAACAGTTAACAAAATATATAACAATCAAAATACATAAAACTGTAACGATTAATTAATGTATATTTGTTTTATAGGTTCGCTAACGATTTTTACACAAATGTATATTTAAATAACGTTACATTATAAAATTAAAAACATGCATAAACTGTGTAAAATCAGTTAAAAGCAAACACTGCATGCAAACATAATTCTTTCTAACTATTTGTAATATTACCAAAGTTACCTTAAATGTTACGTGTTATTACCAAACTTACCTGACAGTAAACCGGGCTGGTATAGAACAATACGTCCAGTATAGTGTCATTGGTGAAGTTCCTCAGTCGCGGTATACTCTCGAGGGTAACAGCAGCTAGTCTTCTATCAACGCCAGTTTCACCTGAATGTAGACTTGAATGCCAGGATATTGGCAATACCTTGAAATTGATTAACATAATATAGTGGTTAATAAAACTTTATTTTATTTGTTATATGTATATTGTTAAGAAGAAAGAATGATAGAAGAATATAGTAATGTGATCTACTTATAATATATACTTGATATCATATTATTATTTTAATAATGCCGACCAAGTATACAGGGTGACTGGTGAATTACTATCAATATTTAAGGAGCATACTCGGTACATGATTCTCATTCGAATTATGTAAAAAAAATAGGTACTTAATTTTTGACCAAATTTCCGTATAAATAAATAAAGTGTGTACACGTTCCAAGTGTTCCAAGTGTGGAGGCGTGCGGCGGCGTGCTGATACAACACTACGCCGCCGTCGCGTCTGTGTGAGTGTGTGTGTATACCTAATCTGTAGGGTGTTCATACGATGCGTAATTAATTACATAACTTTTGGTTAACTTTACTTAGAAGTTTATTAATATTTATGTTATATTAATTTTTATTTTGTCATATATGATCGTCAAATATCACGTCCTTAAATATCGATAGTAATTCACCAGTCACCCTGTATATACATAGTAAATACTATGTATTAACTTTGTCCGGATTTAATTAAATTTAAAATAAAAAATGTAGCCCCAGTTATTCTCTATAATATTGGTTATATGTATGTAAAATTGCAAAATAAAAAGTTTCAGACATTAAAACGATTACCAGAAATTAACAGACATTGAAAACAAAAAATGACATTCCAATAAATGTATTAATATTATTTAGTTAATAAAGCGATATGTTCTTATATGACAAATAGGTAGTTTTTCAGATTGATTATGATTATCAACTCACAAAGCCACATAAAATCTGTTATTCAATAGAGTTATAAGCTAAATGAACTTACCTCCACTCTCCCAATGATGCCACTGTCATATGAGTTCTTATAATGTGACTGAATCAGTTGAAGACTTGTTGTTCGGAAGTCGTCCACTGAAAATATTATGACAATAACTTTGAGTAATTATATATAAATATTGCAAAGTATTACCAGATGGCTGGACTAATGAACAGAACTTAATTTATCTATATATATATATTCCCAAAGAGGGTTGATGTCAGGCAGGCGGCCGGTCGTAAAAACAATTAGCCAAAACTATTCACAACATGTAAGGCAGACCCTGGCTAAAGCTGGGAAATTGCCAGGAAGAAAAAGAAGATATATATAAAAGAAAGTCGTTTTAGTTTCACTATTTATAACTCAAGAACGGCTGTACGGGTTTGGCTAAAAATTTGTGAGGAGGTAGGCTAGAATCAGGAGACGAACATAGGATACTTTTGAATTCGTTCGTCTAAAAAAATTTGCTAATAAAATCCAAAATCTATTAATTTACAGCCTCTATATCGAAGCAGTTCGCCTGGTCATCATTACATTTCTAATTATGAAACTAAAGCGTACAAAGTCGTGAGAAAAACCTTGTATTAAAATTGAACTCACCGACTTCCTCCACTGACCGGAAACGCATGTCGCAAGCGGATCCGACGCCATGACACAACAGCAGGAGGTGATCTATACTAGATGGCTCTGTATCCTCGATTTCAGATTCAACACAACCTCTTCGAACCACACGAGGGCGCATTGTTGATTGCTATAATATATATAATTCATAAATTAGTGTTATTAAACAATTTATATTGCACTAATAGTACTATAATACTTAATTACTTTATAGAAGTCAGTGAGAAACAGAAGTAATCAACAAAGAAAACTGGTTTTTTATTTGATTTCAAGTAATTTATATAAAAATGCTTTTATGTATATTTTATTACCAATAGGATGTCAATAATATACTAGCTAATAACATACAATAATACATGAAATACATTTAAATTAATTTATCTAAAAAACCAACACTATATAATAATAATATATAAATTGTATGAAATTCTTTGAATTTTAACCTTTTATATTTAGCATACTATCTTAGTCTATCTAATTCTATCTAGACGATATAATACCCTAGATAGAACCATCTACAAAACCTATCTATAGATGTATTTTAACTAACAATTTTCTCCTTCTGATTTCTATATTCACCAGCGCCGTGTACAAGGAAGATGAGATGATCTATTTTGTTGAGTTGATCACCGGCTACTTTAATTTTTGGTGGGTTTCTGTACACGCGCTTACCAAAGGTAAACAGCTGGGGAGTGACAGGTAATTCGGGGAATATCAGGTAACGTAGGTAATATTCGACTAAATCACAGAATAACATAGTTTTCTAAACCTAAATCCAGTTAAATACTGGTAATATTGCAAAATGGGTAATATTTGTCAGATTGGGTAATTTTTTTGGGTTTTCACACATTTTAAGTCCAAATTAAATTAGATTATGTTTGTTATTACCGGTGTGGAGCTAAACGCGTCCGTGGGGCTCGTCTGCAGGAAGTGTACCATAACCGCTGGGCCGTGCATCACTACCATTTCGTTGTTCGGCAACATTAGACGTCTGTGCCACTCTCCCGTTGTAATACCGTGGTGGTATTCTTCCTATAATATAAATCTCTTATTATTTATATACAACTTGTTTTTGCTCGCTACTTCGTCCGCGCTAATTTCGTCATTAGTAATATATGTATAGCTGACCGGATGAACCGGGCGAAAGGTATTGGTATTTAATATTTTTTTTCTGTTTCAATCGAACAGAATGATTGTCAAATCTAATGTCAAAAAAGCATTTGTATGGAAAATAGAAAAGGGCTGTTTTTAGGGTTTTCCCGGAAATGAATCAATTTTTTTCAGCTTTAACCATCCCTGAAGTTCCACGAACATTTCAAGACTAAGATAAGATAAATCCGTTCAGCCGTTCTCGAGTTTTAGTCAGACTAAGGAACAGCAATCCATTTTTATATATATAGAAGATAGATTATAAGTATTTTACCTCTAATTTCTCAGCAACCGACTCAGCATACGGAACGTATCTCGCATCGATGTTTCCTTTGTAAAACCAGCTACATCTGAAATCAATAAATTTACCTTTGTAATTGAGTGTAATCAAGGGAATTACCTGTGGCGATATTACTACACTTACCTCATAACGTTTGTCGGTTTTTCCGACCAGTACACTGGAATCCTAAGTCGTCCGACTACGTTCACGTCAAATCTACCCCCGTCTGTTGCTACAACTGTATTTTCGTTTAGATCAGCTGGAAATAGTAAAAAAATCAATTAGAATTTGGGAATATTAGTGCTGTAACACTTCTCCATGAACAAGAGCCAAGACAGTACAAGTTGTTGTGAGAAAAAAAAATCTAAATACTGGAGTTTTTGTGTAGTATTTAAAACATATATTTTTGTTATTTAAGTTTCTTTTAAACTATTTTTTTTGACACAACACATTTGAGATATAATGCTATTGAAATTAATTACATATTTAAAGAAAAAGATTACCTATAATCGCTTTTACAAAACTTACTTCTGCGAACGTTCTACGACCACAAAAAAACACTTTAATTGATGATTATCTTTTATTTTGTTATTACTAGAAAGGATTGAGTATATATATTTAATTAATTTAACAACTCACGACTTATAAACGCGTTTTCCAATGCTCTCGAATCAGCGACTGAGAAGCCGCGCCAAATAGATTTACCCTCGCAGTCGACTCGATAGAACCAGTGATGCTTGACCGGCGAATACTCTGACGAACTCCGATTCTGTAATGATTTTTACAATAAATTTCACATAATTTCAACATATTTCACAATGACAGTCTTTGAAAAATACCTCTGATGATACAACGACACTTTCGTTAGTGTCATTGTATGAAGGGTCACAAAAATTTATAGTGACAGATTTTTTTATATCATCTTTTTTGGTTTCCATATTCGCATCTCCTTTCTTGCTATCGGATGTGTCCATACAGGTTCTTATTTTGGAATAATTGCAATTTAAGTCTATTTTGATTGTGTCACAGCAATATTTGCAATTCTTTATAATATCGACTATGTTAAGACTTGCGCCGTCAGTGTTACCTAGTTCATTGGGTTGGTCGTAATCGCTTTCAATGTGTTTTTCGTTTAAATCTATAGATGATTTCGGTTCGCCGACTTTTATTGTGTCAATATCGTATTCGACTGTGAAATAGTTGACTGTCTTAACTACATCGTTTGGGGTGAAACTTTTATATGAGGCTAAATCGCGAACTAGATTCATATTTGATGAATTTTGTGGAATGTTTTTCACTTTATTGGGATCTGATTGGAAGAAATTTTTGACATTACTTTGAATGGTATCGAAATGTTCGGGTTTGTGCCTGTAATGGTTTTGGGATTGGCTTAACTCAAAAAAAGACTTCGAGTGATCTGGCTGAGGTGGAGATGAGAAATAGCTAGAGAGACGACTGAAATTGCTGTAAACGTCTGCGTTAGAAGAAGTTTCAGTGTTTGAAAATAAATTTGAAGAATCCGACAACGTATTAGCAGCAGGCGTAGTGTCTTCGGTTTGTTTATCGAATACTGAGGGTACATCGTCGGAAATTTCACTTTTTGGTTCAATAATACTTGAAAAAGCTGGCAATCTGTCAGGTTTAGTTGCTGCAGTTTCTTGAACAAAAGAACTCATCGTTACAATTTGTGTCGTAACAACGTTTAATGGAGCGCTGCTTGCTTGCGAAAAAGTTTGCGAAATCGTTAAAGAAGTTTGAGTGGATGTTTCTGGCACGTGAACTATGTTTCCGATCTTAAAATCAACTGGTGGTTCCATGGATGATATTCCTGCTAGGTTTTTGTTGAATTCATCTTCAAATCCTGGTGGAATGGTCGATGTTAGGTTGATATTAGCGTTGAATGCTATCGCCGTTGGTGAGGTTAGGGAATTTTTGTAATGATTCTCAACCGCGTAGTTACCGGTATCGAAATAAGACGCGATCGTCACTGCTGGACTGGTAGATGTGGCTAAAGTTATAGGTTTAACAGTTTTCTGTAGCTCATTATCATCAATTACATCCGTGGACGTTTCCATTTGCTTAAATCTCTCCACTCTATTCGTAAACGTGTCGACCTCTTGTGGAGTTTCTTCTGACAGTTTCTCTCTTTCTTTATATTCAATTTTATCATCATCTGTCTCTGACGGTTCAATAACAAACTCTTCGTATATCGGAAAATCCTTTTTAGCGTCTTGTTCAATAGAATGGACATCGAGTCCGCTCTCATCAGAATTGTTATCTTCCTCCGGTGGTGCTGTGGGTATACTCAACTGACGTGGAAGAACTACAGCATCGTCTTGGGAAATTTTATACTCTGCTTTGATTTCATCACTAGCGTTAGCAGGTACATTTTCAAAAAACAACGAATTGTCGCCATAGAATCCGATAGATGGATTCGTTTCACCCACTGACCATCCAAAGTTAATTGCGGCGGGGAAATTATCTTTAAGCTCGACGGAGGGAGGTTGTTTCATAGTTTCTATAATATCTTCGGGTATGTGAGATATTTCTGCAAATTGATTCGAGAAATTTGATATATCGGGAACGGTAGTAACGACTGCTGCGCCTACAGCAGTCGGAAAGTCAACCGGATTTGCTAACTGTATTGGCGCGGTGATGTTTTCAATTAACTGTGTGGTTAAATCTGCTTCCTTATCCTCGGGTTTACTGAACACTCTGCTTGTTTCACAAATATTGAGATCAGTCGGTTGACTATCGAGCGGTTTTATATCATTTTCTATTGGCATTGTTTTATCAAAGAAACTCGATCTTCGTTCAAACTTCACCATATTATCAACGTTATCGTATAGAGATATATTATCCATTTTATTTTCTATGTTTTGTATAGCAGATGTTTCATTGTTTGTTACTGGTAGTGATGAAGAGGATATTTTTGATAAATCGAATGACGGGACAGGAGGTAACAGCTGTGGTTGGTCAAATAATGAAAATAGTGGAGTCTCATTTAGAGTATTTTGAACAGTAGAAGGAGCAGGAGCTTGAAGATTTTCACTCTTAGTCTTTAATACCGTAGGTAAGCCTTTGAAATCAGCTGATTCCGAAATCCCTTGCATAGCATGTCCAGTATTTATTACGCTTTGTGTATTTTGGATAATAAATTCATTCTTTAATTCCAAACCATGATTAGATGTTGGAGCTGGAGAATCGAAGAAGCATTTCAAGGAGTCATTTGCCAATAGGTTACAATCAGTCAATTCTATATTATCTTTCTTAGAAGTAGTCAGTGGGCATATTGAATGTGGGTAGTCGAAAAAGGATTTCAATGGATCCACAGTAGCTTTAGGCGCTGCTAATGTTATATTATTATCATTTTCGAGAGCAGATTCTACTACAACAGGCGTTTGGCAGTCGAAGACTTTCTTCAAGGTAGAATCCGCCACGGATTGTAACTCCTTTATTATATCAGTGTTAGACGTCGAAGTTTTATCATCTTTAGTCACGCTAAAAGATTTAATATCCTTGCATAACTTTTGTGGTGGTTGTATAACTTTATCAGGAAAACCGTAATTGTTTTCAAAGGAATCAGTTACTGGTATTCCCTCAACGACATCGCATTCTTCATTTATCTTTACCGGATTCAAATTATTTACATTTTCACTTTGTTCAACGTCGTCTGTTATTCCGAATTCATCAAGTGCGCTTTTGGCAGTTTCCACTTGTTGTGTATCATCAATAGCTGCCTGTTTTTCCTTTTCTTGAGAATTTCTATCAGGTTGAATATATTCATGACTTAGTAGTGTAGTATCTCTTAATGGTTGAACATTTGTTGACTGAGTGTTGTCATTATTAAACGGAGTTGCTGGTATATAAGCATCTGTTGTTGATAAGTTAGTGTTGGACGGATAGTTAGAATAGAAATCGTTTGAATAACCCTGGGGTGGATTGAAATACTCCTGTTTGGGATAATACTGTTGATTGTTGTACAGCTGATGGGTCTGTAGCTGGTAATTGTACGGATTTGACTGATGATATTGGTTTTCTATATTCGGTACAAATACTTCTAGAGCAGCGCTTTCGTGCTGTGGAAAATTCTGATAATTCCCAGAGATTGAATGGAAACTCGATTCTGTTGCGTTGTTTTGATCAATTTTGGATTCGTTGTAAGCTGGGTCGAAGAACGTCGTTACCGTGTTTTGTATTTTATTGATATCTATTGAGCTGAGTTTAGATTTTAATGATCCGATGATACCGAATCCTTTCGGTTCTGAGGGCGGGGGTTGTTCATAACTTTCTGTGGTCGGTCTGCTTAAATCGAATGCGGTATTATAATCAATTTGTTGGTGAGTTTTTCCTTGTGGTAAATATGGATCAACCATTGACTGGCCTGCTAAATTTATTGAGCTATTCATGTCATATGACGGGTTTTGCATGACTGGTGCATTATAATCCACAGACAATGGGGGAACTGATTGCATGGGTTCATTCTGGAATAATGACCCCGAAAAAGCATTCGTTTCAACTGGCTGTATAGTTGGTTTTATGTTATTACTAATGCTCCCAAATCCTTCTATTGGACCAGAATAATACTGAGGTCTCTTTTTGGTCATTCTATAGTTTAAATTGCCAGATACTTTTGGTGGTTCTGGAATAACTTTTGGTGGCTCTGGGACTGTAGGCGTGCTGTGAAATTGAGGTACTGTACTTTGTGCAATAGACCCGGTTTGGCTTTCTTGTGGTGGAGAATTAAACGTTGTTTGCGATACATTTGCGGGGCTGAAGAATAGTGGAGGTAAAGCTTGTTCAGTCTTTTCAGGTTGATTTACATTTTGGTTAACTATATTTACGGGTTTAGTAGCTTCTGAGTATGGAGTAAATATATTAGAAAGTTTCTTGTCCTCTGACCCCACTTTTGACTCAATAGAACTATTTTGTCGAAGTGGAACTTCCACTGTATTGGTTGGTTGTGTGAATAATGACGTATTAACAGCGTCCTGCGAAGGAAAACTTCCTATTGTTTGCATATAAGGGTTGGAAACTCCAGAATCTTTTGTTTGGACTATTGGAGGATTGTAAATAGAATCTTGTTGAGGATATTGCGTTAAATTGGTCTGTGGTGCTTTACTTGCATCTGATGAACCAATATTAGACATAGTTGGGATAAAAATATTATCAGGCAAGGGAATGTTTGAGGTTTGATTCTTGATTACTGGCTGATGCGCGCCTATACGCCTCGCTACTGACGGTGGTAGCACAGACTTCCCTGATGATTGACTGTCTCTCCGCGGTAAGCTACTAAACATTGGAGGTGGTGGAATTATTGCGGACGGTTCCTGGGATATTGGAATAAATTTGTTAAACGAGCTATTTAGGGTGTCTTTTAAATTTTCCTGCATATCTATCTCTTTCGTTTGACCTAACGCTTCTGTGTGAGAAGACGCAGTTTTTTGACTCTGATTATAGATATTTTCTTGCTGTTGACTAGGCATCTCCTGATGGAAAACATTAACGTTCATTCCTTGTTGCTGGTCAGACATCACACTTTGAGAGAATTGTTCCGTTTGAAGAGCATTTTTATTGAACATATCGTAAGCTTCTTCTTTCCTATCTATAATCTCTACTTCTGCAACATTCTCTTCTTTCCTATCATTGACACTCATGTCTGGTGTGAAATAGCTTGTCGTTTGACCAACAGCTGGCAAATTAAACGTGTGTACATTATTATCACTAGAGATTATGCCAGGTATCTGTGCGTACACCTTCTTCTTAGTCGTGATTCGGTAACTTGATGTGTTACCTGGAACAAAATAGAATTCTTTTATATATTTGTGTTTTTAAATAAAAGTACAGACAAAATACCAGTTATGTTTAGTTTTATAATTCAAAGTCTAAGATTAGTGAATTACAAATTATGTTTTTGGTGATTTTGGTCCGCTCAACGTTCATTAAGTTTCATATATGTATAGAAATAATGTATTTTTCATTCAAAGGAAAGTAATATCTACTATTATATAATAAATTCTCAAAACCAACACAAACTCATATAATATTGGTAATAAACAAAAGAATGAATTTTTAATTTATTTGCTATCCACCCGTCCCGCCAATATCTATTGCTTATGTTTCATTACCTCGTACTTTTGAGTTTTGTTTTAAATAAATAGTTTTCCAAACATGTATTTTTTACTTTATATAAAATTGAAATGAGTAATAAGTGAAAAATTTTAATAACGTTAAGAAATTTAATGGCATCGACCCCAAGATAATAAACACAAAAAACGTATGAAAACATAACTCAATAATAATTGGTTGTGAAATTTAAATTGACCCGAGGCAGAAGCCTTCCGCGTATAAAGATTAATTGCATCGAATTATACGAGGCTAAAGGCAATATGTACACGTTTTGAACTCTTAAACTTTAATTGAAGTTTACAATATCATCAAGTATACTCACGAAAGATATTATATTTTGGAAATTATTAAAAAAAAAATACTTATAGGAGAATCAAGATTAATTGACATACATTCACATCTCGTCTTAATGATCACGGTTGCTGTAAAGTAACCGAAACGTCGAGAGTATGTAGTTAAAATATTAAAAAACGCGTAGTACATCCAAAAATATTAGTTTCATTTAAATGAATATTATCAAAGTCTTAGATCTTATTATAAGATTAAAGACATATTAATGTTATACAATAATTATTATCTAAATTCTACGCCTATTTATTTTTGTTTCATATTGAATTCTTTTAAAATATAAATTTGAACATCTATACCAAAGAATACGCTTTCTTTTCCTTATAATGCACAAATATTTAAGGGTTACTATACATAATTTATATTATTTTATTAAGGCAAAATCTTCAGTTCAATCCCTACTAATATTATAAATGCGAAAGTAACTCTGTCCGTCTGTCTGTGTGTTACGCTTTCACGCCTAAACCACTGAACTTATTTTAATGAAATTTGGTACAGAGATAGAGTTGACCTTGAGAAAGAACACAGGATAGTTTTTATCCCAGACTTTTGAAAGGTTCTCTTGGAAACGCGATATAAGCGAACTACACGCGGGCGAAGCTGCGGGCGGAAAGCTAGTCAATAGATAATTACACAAACTCCACTATATCCAATATAGTAAAATTCCCACGCACATAAACGTTGGCCCTACGACCTCACGCGTGCGAAGAATGACCTCAGAATCGTGTATGTATAATATTAAACTATCAATGCATCACGAGATACTTGAACGGCCTAGATATACATATTTATTGAGAGTGAAATTCATATCTTCTTCTACCTGGCAATTTCCCAGCTTTAGCCAGGGTCTGTCTAACATGTTTTATATAGTTTTGGCTAATTGTTTTTACGACCGGCCGCCTGCTTGACATCAACCCTCTTTTGGAACGCAATAATCCGTGATGTCTAAATATTCTTATAAAGTACATATGACTCGGAAAAATCACATTGGTACTTGCCAGGATCGAACCCAAGCTCTCGTGCATGAGAGGCGGGCCTTTTAACTATAAAGATATAACTAAAATAATTCAAAATAAAAAATGATTTCAAAAAATTCTGTAGTTGTAAAAAAAGCTGTTAATTGATTGTATTATAATTGCTTATTGTTCTAAATTTTTGTGACAGATAGTTTTATGTCATCATCAGCCTATCAGAGCCCACTGCTGAGCCTCTTCTCACATGGAGAAGGTTAGAGCACTAATCACCACGCACATTCAAGGCGGATTGGTAGTGGTTTTATATACGATGTATATACGCCCATATAAATTCACTACGGCCTGTATTTAAATTAATGTAATATAGTATATGATAAGATATATTCATATTTTTAACTTACAAAAATTAAACATATGTAGTTGGTTTATATGTCTAATATTCTAGATTTAGATTAGCGATATATAAGTACATTTGTAACCGAACGAAGTCGGGGGAAAAGGCCCTGGCTCTGTATCGTGTGAAACTTTGGTTAGGTCACAAAATAATTACCTTTGACTTATTGTAATTTTTTAAAAGCTAGCACTGAAAAAGGTCAAAGAATTCGCAAAAAAAGATAAATTGTTATCTCAATTGTTGCGTGTACATTTCAATGAAACTAAGTTTTTTGTTTACTAGGGTTTTTTGTTATTCTATATGTACATGATCCAAACTTTTCGGTTTCTTTACAAAAACCGTGATCACGGACAGTCAAAAGTGTCTGTCACCAATTTATAAACTACTCTAGACACAAAGGTTTTAATATAATTATAATATCTCAATTATTATAGTTTATATATTGACAGAATTATGTATATATAAAGCAGGAAGAAATACTAAGAACAGATTATTGAATGAATTAATAAGTTTACCATTAGTTTTCACCGTGTAACTAAATACGTGACGATGTGAGTATTTCGTTTCTTAGTTTCGAGTTAACTGTAGCTTTTAGTCCTATTGAGTGGCCCGATGGGAACTAGCCAATTTAATTCAGGCCCGTAAGGCCCGACTGGGGATGGTCCGGACCCAAGGGTGCCTCTAAGAGGCCGGACCTCGGCTTTCGGAAAATTGGATGTTTTTCGTTAAGAAACGTTAATACTATCTATCAATAAATGAAAACTAATAATATACCGTTTTTATGAAGTTTAACGCAAACATGTGTTAGGGCTATATATGCTATATCTATGTTATATTGAGGAGTTTAGTGTATGGGAGGATGAATAGTTTAAATAAAACTCCACTTACTTGTTATTGGCGGTTCCATCAGCGGAGGCGCACTCGGTGCCAAAGGTTCAGACCCTGGTGGAGAGACCGTCATATCCTGAAGTTGTGCGTGTTGATAATTCTTACAATCATCAGATATCTGTTCTTTATTCTTCAAGCTTAACATATTCGAGAACGAACTGAAGACTGCGCTCGCGACTTGAGGCAGCACTGTCGGTAGTTGGGAGAAGTTTTGCGCTATATCCGCTGTTAGGCTATTCTGGAAATCTTCTTGGACCTGAGTTTTATCTGGTTCATTCAGGTTTATTTCCTCCAGATTCTCTTCAGCCTGAAGATTAGCGTTCTGGTCCTCTTTTAGATTACTATTAATCGGCGCGCTCACATATCTAGTGCCTTGCAATCTTGCGAAATATTCATTTACATCAAAATCATCATCATTTTTAGTCCTATCTTTGGACTTACTCGTCATATAATTGTCTTTAATATTTACGTTTTGCGATTGTTTTTGATGTTCAAAATGATTTATATTTATGCTAGGCTGTTTTGGCTGTGGGGAAGTGAAAGCTGCGTCACCGGACGGAAAATTTGTGATATCTTGGTCAGAGTGGCCCAGAGTGAGTTGTTGGTACACGTTTTGTTCATCTGAAACAAAGAATACAATATGATTAAACATATTTATTTATTTATGTATTAATATATGTATGTATGATTATTTTTTAATATATATTTTTAAGTTAAATTAATTTTAATGTTTTTTTTATTATTTTTTATTTTCTTCTTGTTTAGTATTAGTTATGTTTTTTTTTTTGTTGTATCTTTTCTCCTCGTGTTCGATTTTGCCTGTTTACCTTTCCTGAGCATCTTTCCTGGGTATACTGGAAGAAATCTCTTGTAGGGATAAGTATACCTTTTAAAATCATTTTTCCCGTGATAATTTTTGTTCTAAATGTTTCTGGCATGTTTAAAAAATTGTTAAATAAATACATAAGTACCACTTAATGGAATAAAAGCTATAATAGGATATGCACCCTTAAATTTTTTCGTCTAACTCAAAAAACGCTCTTTGTGTGGTTTGAGTGAAAATAACTTGACATGATTTGACATCGATATCCACCACTAAAATTTATTTATTTTTAAGAAATTCTTATTATATGCTGTAAGTGAGTAGTACATTAGTATGTTGTTATTATATATTTTTTTAATTATTTTTACTGGCTTATAATTATTATTTATTTTGTTTTTATTGCCTGTATTGTATTTATATGGCCTTAAACCTTATTAGTCTATGTTTGTTCTAGCTTAAGCTTTTAATATTACTTAAGAGTGTATTACTTTGTATTTAATTTAACAGTCCTGTAAATGTCTGTAGTGGTGTATCATGCACTGGTCCATGTACTGTTATTACATAAGAGTTATTGTGAATATGCCTCTGGTGTTTCAAATAAATAAATAAACTTAGCGATTCTTCATCAAACCGTATTTTTTAGACAAATTCTTCGTTTTTCGACACAAAAATTGAAATAGATAATCCGAACTAGATTTTATTTTGATAAAACCACCCCATATAACTTAAATGTGATTTTTCCGAGTCATATGTACTTTATAAGAGTATTTAGACATCACTGATTAATGCATTCCCAAAGAGGGTTGATGTCAGGCAGGCGGCCGGTCGTAAAAACAATTAGCAAAAACTTTTCACAACATGTAAGGCAGACCCTGGCTTAAGCTGGGAAATTGCCAGGTAGAAGAAGAAGAAGAAAGCCACCCCATATAACTGGTCTATGTAACAAAAAAACTTGGAAGGACCTGAGTTAATAGCGTTTCGTTCGCTTCGCTCCACAATTGAAACCATCTTTATGGAATGACTAACCAAATTGCTATGATTCGAAAGTCTGTTCTGACCCACATAGAGCCAAACCTTTTCCTTTTTTGGGAAATCTTTTGTGACAACGAAAAACCTATTTGCTTAGCCGTATCCGCATTTATCTATGTGTGACACACAAAACTACATATTAAATTGCAACATTTCATGCAGTTATTTACACTCATAGACTTCAAATAATATATATTGTTAGAAATTAAAAACACGTTGTGATTTATAAAAAAAAATTATTAATATTCGAGACTAATTAGGGCAGTTTCTTCTCTTAACAACAGTTGAGAACATAAAGTGTCAGATTGTCAGTAAGCGCTCCTTATATAGGTAACTTGAGGGTTGATAGTTTAATTAATCAATAATTATATATTATATAACAATATGTATATACTAGCTTTCCGCTTGCAGCTTCGCCCGCGTGGAGTTCGGTTACATCGCGTTTCCAAGAGAACTTTTCAAAAGTCTGAGATAAAAACTATCCTATGTTCTTTCTCAAGGTCAACTTTATCTCTGTGCCAAATTTCATTAAAATCAGTTCAGTGGTTTAGGCGTGAAAGCGTAACAGACAGACAGACAGACAGAGTTACTTTCGCATTTATAATATTAGTAGGGATATATACTTTGCAGTAGTTATTTAATTCTCCCTGGATATCAATTTCAAGAACTGGATGAGATCTTATTATTCATGAGACTATGCTTTAAATAAAAATTTAATTGTCATAAGAATTTTATTCACCATTTTAAATACTAAGTGATGGATATAAAAAATGTAAACTCATTTAACGTATTTAAAAAAGCACTTGCTAAGTATATTTTAAATAATTAATAATTAAAACTAATACAATACGTTAAATTAGTACTTAATATAGAAAAATGTCTCTTAGTTAAGCGTTATTTCAACTGTATATTCATAAATGTTTTGTTAAAAGTGATAATAATGTCTTAATGGGAATAAATATCTTAAATATCTTAAACCATGGTTGCCAAGAGGTTAAAGGCCTTCCTCTCATGCATGGGGTTGGTTCGAAACCTGGCAAGTACCAATGTGATGTTTCCTAGCCATATGTACTTTATAAGAGTATTTAGACATCACTGACTGATGAAGGAAAACATCGTGAGGAAACCTGGACTTATAACTTCAAATTAAGTTTGAGATCGGCAATCCGCCTTGAGCGAGCGTGGTGATTAATGCTCTAACCTTCTCATGTGAGAAGAAGCAGCTCAGTAGTGGGCTCTGATAGGATGATGATGATGAAATCCGAATAGATACTCTCCACCTCGTTTCAACAGACAGACAGACAGACAGTTACTCGTAAATACTTTTTCGTATAATCACCTTCTTACGAAATACTTGCTAGAACATGTCAGAGCCCATATAATTACAATACTTAAGACATTTCTAGCTTTCTGTTGAAACTTAAATCGTTTCCAATTATATAGGTTTTCCGCGGTTAAATCCCTACTAATATTATAAACGCGAAAGTAACTCTGTCTGTCTGTATTACACTTTCACGCCTAAACCGCTCAACTGATTTTAACGAAATTTGGTACAGAGATAGAGTTGACCTTGAGAAAGAACATAGGATAGTTTTTATCCCAGACTTTTGAAAGGTTCTCTTGGAAACGCGATATAACCGAACACCACGCGGGCGAAGCTGCGGGCGGAAAGCTAGTAACAAATAAAGTTCAACCTTACTACAAGTTTGCATCTTCTTACAACTAAGTTTTATTAAAGAAAAACTCTGTACTGTTGGTATTTAGTATGAAGATTACTCGTGGTTATAAGCCTATCGGACCCTATATACTAACCCTGCAAACGTTGTTTTGCAATAAAAAAAATAGGTTAAGTAAAAATTTTGGGGTGTATGTGTTTTAATGCTACATTATAAAAAAATCAAAAGAAATAATTAGAGGTGAACGACCCTTATCATTTGGGGGTATGAAAAATAGATAGCCGATTCTCAGACCTACTGAATAATTATATAAAATTTGGTAAAAATCGGTTAAGCCGTTTCATAGGAGTACGATTACGGAAATTTTATATGTTAGATATATATTAAAATGTACCAATATATTGTTATAATTATATTATAAAAGTAAAGCCAGAAAAATAGACTAGTTTAAAATATTTTGAGTACAAATAGTTGTTAGTCATAAATTTTTGTAATTATCTTTAACTACGCCTTTGTTGAGTTATCGTATATGTGAATGACTGGAGCTTTAAACTATATGTGGTGATTATATACAGACAGTTAACTCAATGACGAAATGACATATATATATATATATATACTAGCTTTCCGCCCGCAGCTTCGGCCGCGTGGAGTTCGGTTATATCGCGTTTCCAAGAGAACCTTTCAAAAGTCTAGGATAAAAACTATCCTATGTTCTTTCTCAAGGTAAATTCTATTTCTGTAACAAATTTCATTAAAATCAGTTTAGTGGTTTAGGCATGAAAGCGTAACAGATAGACAGACAGAGTTACTTTCGCATTTATAATATTAGTAGGGATATATATTATATATATGTTAAAGGTGGCAAACGAGCAGACGGCCTACTTGATGGACAGTAGTCACCATCGCCCATTGACTTCTGTAGTATAGGGGGTGTTGTGAATGTATTGCCGACCTTGGTTATTAAGGAAGAGGGAATTGTGGGAATAAGGAAATGGCTGGAAAAGATGAGAAAGAGATAGAGCAACCGTCTCTCTCACTCATCAGACAACGCATCCATTAAAGACTACTTCACGCCGATCTTCAGTGAGAGGGTAGTACTTACGGTCGAGACAGAACATGTTCGAGCTGTAGTAACATGACCATAGCTAAAGCTCTACCCTCTTCTTCTACCTGGCAATTTCCCAGCTTTAGCCAGGGTCTGCCTTACATGTTGTGAATAGTTTTGGCTAATTGTTTTTATCACCGGCCGCCTGCCTGACATCAACCCTCTTTGGGAATGCATTAATCAGTGATATCTAAATACTCTTGATAGTTCATATGACTAGGAAAAATCACAGTGTTACTTGCCAGGATCGAACCCGCGCCCTCGTGCATGAGAGGTGGGCATCTTAACCACTAGGCCATATAGACTTAATAGCTAGGCTCTACCATCTATATGTATATAATTTATCACAATACAATTTATATATGAAAAACATATGTTTGTTAAAGTCTTATGTAGTACGGTCAAATCGGACTAGGCCACGGCTAGCATTTTTAGGGTACCGTTAGAAGAGACAAATTTTTAACAACTTTGTTTTATCAATGAAAAACTCTAAACCATCCGTGTCTAGTATGCAGTTTAACTCGTACTAATGATAAAAATATACATTTATTATATAATTCTACTATAGAAAGTAATTACGCTTCAATATAATATGCTTGTGAAATATTTAATATAAAACAAACATACAGTCATATGAGAACCTCTTTTTAACGAAATCGGTTAATAAGTACATACGGAACCCACTATATATATATATATATATATATTTCTAAGTTAGGTAAGACTGAGAATTATTTAACTATTGGATCAAGTTGAACATGTATCGTAACATTTGTAAACATATATATGTATGTATATATGTATGTTCCTACATAATTACTAAACCTTTTTTAATGTAACTTTGTAGATATAGGTGATCTATGTATTATATTCAAACATTACCAAGTATTTGAATAAAATAAATAAATATGGTAATTTTTTTAATGGAATCGGTAGATTTGTTTTATAATTTTGACGACTGCGTTCTAGAAGATTTTGATGAAATTTTGTGAGCATATTGTAGGTCTGAGAATCGGCCAAAATCTATTTTTCATGCCAAAGTCATAAGGGTTGTTCACCCTTATTTTTATTTTCGGATCATTTTTTTTTGTTTTTATTATTTTATAATATAGCTTTAAAAATACACACAATCCAACATTTTTAATTTTTTATCACTAACCCCTATTTATTTATATGCCAAAACGTTTGCCGGGTCGGCTAGTAT